ACACGCCTCTCTGTGGACAATTGGTCAAGGGATGTTGGCTGCTCCGGACTCCAAGCTGTGTTCCTGCCAAGGCAACATTGCCACGGACTCCAAGCTGTGTTCCTGCCTAGGCAACATTGCCACGGACTCCAACCTGTGTTCCTGCCAAGGCAACATTGCCACACTCAACTCTACAAACAGCTACCCTCGTTACTTTGCGTCCATACTTGTTGCTCGATTTGCCACTGCACCTGCAAATGAAACAGCTCATAGACACTTCTACACTCCATCATTGTATCCTTTTAAACCCAATATGTGTCCCATTACTTCACCAGCACTCCTTCCAAACTTCATTCTACTCTTAAAACTAACACCATCTGCGAGCTACTGCTATTCGTCCAAGGTTCGCCGCTCTTCATCCTTTCACATAAAATACTTGTGCAAACTATTAATTCTACTTTTTTTATTTCTGGGTGGTATTGAGCTTCATCCTGGCCCAAATGTAAATAACTCGTATAATTCTGTAGATTTGTCTGGCAGAAAAGGTGTTGGTGTTCTACATGTCAGCATCAGAGGGCTTGTGATTAAATTAAGTCAAGTAAAACTAAAAGTGGCAAATCTTGACCCGGACATTTTTTGCCTAACAGAAACATTTCTCACTCCTGCCGTCAATGACTTGCAGATTACGAGTGACAACTACAACCTTTTTCAGCTTGACCGAGGCTCTAAAGGAGGTGGAATTGCCATCTATGTTCGTAATACTATTGCATGTTCACCAGCTCACTCCTTTATTTAAAAATGTTGCTTTGAAGGTTTGGCTCTCAGAATAACTCTCCCAAATAATCAACAGATATTGGTAGTATGCTGCTATAGACCGCCTAGTGGGAAGGATGTTGAAGCTGCATCTGCACTGAGAGAGCTTTTTGGGGGCCTCCCTAAAGGTGAAATAGTTTTAGTGGGTGATCTGAATTGGAATTGGCTAAACCCACAATTTTACAGATGAATTTAACCTGTTTCAATTAATAAATGTCCCCACAAGACCCAACCTAAAAAATCCGGGACAGTCAACTCTGCTTGGCGTCCTATTGACAAATGCCCCTCACAATTTCGCACTGACTGGTTCTGGGTAATAACCTTAGTGATCACTCCATTTTTGGGATGAGATCATCAGCCAGACCCAAAGCTCCCCCTAAAATTGTTGAGAAGCACTCTTTGAGGCACTTCAGCACTCAGGCATTTACTAATGATGTGCTTCACTCGGATATTGACAAGGTCTGTGATATCCCCAACCTGACTACGGCTTGGGAGACTTTCAGGTACACGTTTCTCCAAATTCTTAACAACATGCTCCGTTGGTTAGATTTAAAACTAAAGGCAACTGGCCACCATGGTATGATCCTTTGATTACAAAGTTCATGAAAACTATGGACAAGGCTAGGGCATGTGCTCAGAAAAGTAATTTGGTAAATGACTGGCTAGAATACAGGATTTTAAAGAATAGATGCTTAAAAAAAATACGGCATGCAAAAAATGCCTACTTTTCCTCCACTCTCCTGAAATCACATTTTTTGGAAAACAATCAAATGTATTGAAAAGGCATCCAAAACAGACAATCTGCCTATTCTTAGCTCTTTCGGTAAAGGCACGTTGAAGGGAAACAATAAAATAATAAAATATATAAAACAATAAAAATTCCCACGACGTTTCGACAATAACACAAACGGTCAACATTATTGAGCCACTCTGTCTACAGGAAAGCTACCCATACGGATGCTTATCTGAAACCAGATTCCCACCACCATCCATCACAGAAGAATTCTCTCATCAAGACTGTATCATAGAGCCCAATGCATATCCGACCAGGAACACATAGGCAGTGAACTCAAGCACGTACACCAAGCTCTTAAGGCTAATGGTTACTCCGACTATACAATCCGCAAAGCTATCACTCAAACCATGAAGAAGGACCCTCTTGAGGAGCCTTTCAAAACCATCACTTTACCCTACATTGCGGGGATCACAAAAGATATCTCCAAAATCTTGAATAAACACAAGATCCAGGTCCGTTTCAACACATTACATAAAATCCGTGATCTGGTTCCGTCTGTAAAAGATGTGATTCCGAACATACAGTACCCTGGTGTCTACAAACTAAGTTGCCTCTGTGGTAGTAGTTACATTGGAGAAACCAAACGCCATGTCTCGGACCGCATTCGTGAACACAAAGCAGACCTTAAACACGGTAGGACCAACACCTCGGCCGTGGCAGATCATTGTTACAATTCAGTAGGCTCACATGACATTGACTTTTCCAAGACAGAGGTTTTTTGTAAGCCATCTGGCTACCATGAGAGATTCGTTCATGAGGCTATCCACATATACAAGCACAGAGGCAATTTTAACCGAGAAGATGGATTCTGGCTTAGCAATCATTGGAAAAATTTGATAAACCATTACAGATCTTAATTGATTGTTCACGCTTACAGTGGCTTTCAGACAGCATACATACATTTTTCGTCTCCCCCCTCCTCTTTTCAGAACATAGATGGACTAGTCCTTCTAAATAAACTGCCAAATCGCTCCGCGTGGCGCTGACGTTTTTTATAAATAAATACACCGTTAAAAATAAATAAATTAATGCAAACCGACACACCTGATGGCGACCGTTTGTGTTATGGTCGAAACGTCGTGAGAATTTTTATTGTTTTATATATATTATTTTATTGTTTCCCTTCAACGTGATTTTACCGAAAGAGCTAAGAATACAGTGTTAAGATATCAAAAGGGGTTCCACAGGGTTCCATCCTCGGCCCCCTTTTGTTCTCTCTTCATGTCAATGACTTGGGCACTGACCTGGATCATTCCAGGGTAAATATTTTTGCAGATGACACGATACTGATTACTGCTGGCCGCTCTCCAGATGACGTGATTGCTAAGCTCCAGGGTGATTTCAACAAACTACAACATCAGCTAGTTGCTCTTAAACTAGTCCTGAATACCTCCAAAATCAAGGTGCTATGCTTCTCACCGGGACTAAAGCAGAAAGTAATTTTTCCCCAATTAAATTCCTTAAATAATTATCAAATAGAGCAAGTCGAGATCTATAAGTATCTTGGGGTCATCCTGGATTCAAAACTGAATTTTGAAGATCACATTGATTATATTGGTAAAAAGACAAAAACAATCATTGGTTTTCTGTATCGACACAAGCACTGCTTCCCCCCTATGTTCCGTTTGGAATTAATAAAAGCTACCATACTGCCTCTACTTGATTAATGTGATATTGTGTATAAATCAGCCCCAAGTAATGTACTGAAGAAGCTTGATTCCATCTATCCCTCGGCCTTAAGATTTGCATTGAACTGCCCATATCTGACTCACCACTGTGATCTCTACATTGGGTCAAACTTAACATCTCTTAATGTTCGACGGCTTGTGCACCAGATCTTATTTATTCACGATGTACTTACAAAAAAATCCGCAGACTACCTGCTGGATCTCCCCTCTGTTTCAAAGAACAAATTTTACCTCTGGTCTTCGCTAATTTACCAGCTTCACATTCCCTATTGCCGTACAAAAACTGGAGGAAGGGCCTTTGCTATTGATGCCCCTAGGGTCTGGAATGCTATTGCCAATAAACTGCAACTTGAATCACAGATCTTCACTCAAAACTGCTCTAGAGGAGTTGTACACCCCTTGCTGCCACTGCTATTCAGTGGCCTAAAATAAGATAAAATGTTTCGCTCCGGATGACCGCTGCAAAGTGTCATCTGTATTTTGATTTAGTGTGCTGATCTTAAAGGTGCATTGAAAAATGTGATACTCCGACTGATGCTCCTGTTGTTGTGTAGTGACTCATGCAGCCAGCTATGGCTCTAGGGTTTGGTGTTACATGTTATTTATGTAGTTTATAGTAAAAAATTCGGTCACAGTCCCTATGATCACTGTTACATTGCATTTATGGCTTTATTTTGGTGATTTCGAAAAGTTTTTTGGTTTGGCCATGTTTTTGTTTATTGTAGTACGGAGTTAGACTGATGGCCTTAATCTTAGTTTTCTTGTGGTTGTTGTTTGACTTGCATCCCACTGGGATGTTTGCACACAGCGTTAGTGTAGTGTGCTATTTCAGGAATATTTTGATGTTTTTTTCCTGGATTTTCTGTTTGCACAGTCACATAGTCACTTTAAGATGTTTTCTTGTTCATGTTTTTGTTTGTTGCGGTTGCACCCGATTCAAGAGCCGAATGTCTCACAGGGCTATACCAAATAAATGGAACTATGAACTATCTACCGCACGCCGTTGTCCAGCAAGAAAAAAATGTGCATAGAAATCCTTTCGCACCGTACGCAGCCAACCGCGCTGGACAACAAACTAAACACACAAAATACAATCTTGATTTGAAGCTTTCGTGACTGCAGGAATCCATACGCTTTGGTTCTTTCGGTAAAATCACGTAGGTATAAAAAATAATAGATCGTTTCGATCACAACACAAGCGATCGTCATCAGGTGGGGCAACCACAGCAACAAAACACTGCTGTAGGTTTTCTTGCTGTGGTTGACGATCGCTTGTGTTGTGATCGAAACGTCGTGATCTACTATGATTTTTCTACCTACGTGACTTTACCGAAAGAACAAAAGAGTACACAAAAAGCAGTTGTTAAGGAATGAGTTTGTCAATCTAGATGATTATTTAAAAGTGCGTTAGCTCCAGTGGCTTCCTACTATCGGAAAGAGGAGCGTTCCAGACGGCCGCAGAAGCGCGTCTGTGAAGGACCCCCACCGTACACGACGGGGAGGGGTGGCCAAGCACCGCCACGCCCGGCCGTGAGCGGGAATCAAACTCGGGTGGCCGGGTTCGTAGCGCAGCGTAGCGCTAACCGCTGCACCACCGCTCCCCCGATAGCACTCGTCACAGTCACGTGACGACGGGTCAGCCGCCCACGCCTTGTGCCACGTGACTGGTCACCCCCCCCCCGCCGCCGCGTGTCTCGTGATTGGTCACGTGCAGGGTCACGCGCGCGTCGGTATAAGAGGTCACGTGACGGCTCAGCTGATCGCTGTGCCCGAGGAGGAAGCAGCAGTGGCAGCGGGCGGCGTGAGGAGCTCAGAGACTCGCTTGAAAGCCATCGCTGTGGGCTAAAGGCGTTACTGTGGGCTAAAGGCGTTACTTTCAGTAAGTATTCACGATCGCTGGTCATTACTATCGCTGGTCTTTACTGTGGCTCGCGTCTTTACTGTGGCTCGCGTCTTTGCTATCGCTCGAGTCCACGATTCTTCACAACACTCGCGTGTTGTGTCCGTGCCCTAACTCTTGTTGGACGATCCCCATCATCGTAACGTTTACATCCGCGCTCCTTGGTCGCGCCGCGTGCCTTGCTGCCTCGTTGTGCCAAGTGAGCTCGCGAAGAGTTGGCAGAAAGGTTGAATGGATGGGGTTGCCGACCTTTGTTGCGTGTGCGAGGAGCGGTGGCGCAGTGATTAGCGCACTGCGCTCAGCTCCGAGCGGCGAGCCCAGTTCGATTCCCCGCTCACGGCCAACACCGGTGACGATTAACTGAACCGGTTCTGGGCCTCAAACTATGTCAGCTCGGCCTTTACTTGAGTACCCAGTGCGGCGTGTACTTAACATCGCCACTGGGGAGACAAAGGCGGCCGGGCGTGGTGTCTGGACATCCACCCACCCCCTCGTGCGCCGTGCCGGCCTTCATACTGGCCGCTTCTCTCTAACAGCACTTGCCCCAAAAGTATCTTAAGGCTATACGGGGGATCTTTGCTGTGTGTTTTGTATATTTTGTTATTTGTATTTTTGCGTACCGGACTGTGTCTGTACATGGTGAGCCATGTGATGATCCATCTACAGATACAGCAACAATGCACCGTATTCGGAGCCTCCACATGTCACCCGCCAACCAATCATACACGTAACTCGCTCCTCTGTAAGACATGGAGCCGTCGCTTTCACAGTACACCGTTCAGGGTCACTAGATCTCAGTGGGCTATCTATAAATTGATCACTTCATACGCGATTGCGATCATAAATATTTGAGCGTCAGGCCCATGATCTGTCCACTGCTGGATAAAGGCCTCCCCCGGGCGCCTTTGCCGTCCCTTGCCCGGTCCCACACACAACCGGTCTTCGCTCGCGCGCACGAGGTCATCTCACCGCTCCATCGGCCCTTCAAACGACTCACGACGTCTGATTCGCGTTCTCTATATCCACGTGATCGGCTTTCTGTCCCGTGTGCAAGTTGAACTTCTTTCGCACCGTACGTAGCCAACAGTGCCAAAGCGGTGGTGCGGGGGAATGACAGTAAACTAAACACAAAAAGCAGTTATGAAGACATGAGTTTTCAATCTCCATTTTAAAATTACACAGCTCCAGTGGCTTCCTAATATCGGAAGGAAGAGCGTTCCAGACGGCCGCAGAATTGCATCTGAAAGCGCCACGCGATGCAGTGAGACCGCCCAGGTCGATGATTAGCCAAAAGCCGCTGCTGCAGTGAGGATGACCACGGTAAAGTCACGTAGATGAAAAATAAAAATAATGAAAATAACTAAATTAAATCACGACGTTTTGGGCGCAACACAAGCGTCCATCATCAGGTGGGATGATCATCAGGTGGGATGATGGATGCTTGTGTTGCGCCCGAAACGTCGTGATTTAATTTAGTTATTTTCATTTTATTATTTTCATTATTTTTATTTTTCATCTACGTGACTTTACCGAAAGAACCAAAGAGTGTGGTCATCCTTGCAGTCACGAAAACTTCAAATCTTTGATGACCACAGTTCGCGTGATGATAGTCTTAAAATACCAATGCCTTAAAAGTGCATAGGGGCCGTTCATAAATGACGTCACGCGATTTTGGAGGATTTTTGACCCCCCCCTCGTCACACGGCGTCACAAAAAGTCAGACCCCCCCCCCTTAAATATGACGTCACAAAGCTCTGCCCCCCCCAAAAAAATATATTTCCATTTTGAAAATAAAACATGCTTCAAATGGCTTTCAACTATTGTCATTGTAGTGCGTATTTAATGTGGCGCTGCACTCTGATGTTGTAGGAGTGTTGTAATAAGAATTCTACATTTATTTAAGATTGCGCATTTTGATGTGACGTCACATTTCTCAACCCCCCCCCCTCGTCACACATCGTCACAAATGTCTGACCCCCCCCCGCCAGGTGCGTGACGTCATTTATGGATGACGTCATTTATGGACGGCCCCATACGAGAGTGCATTCAAGATTTGGAGGCTGCACTTTATTAAATAATTACATTGAAATTGTTGTTTGGCATATTGGTTTGTTGCGTTTTCATTCTCACACCCTGAAAGTATATATGTAGCTGCCGAAACAAATGACCTTCGTGATAAACAACCATCGGGTGCGTGCAGTGTACAGTGGATTCGTTTGTCTTGAAACGATTGGTCATCGTGAAAAAAGTCAGACTCTTGGGAGGAGGGGTCCATGAGGATGAGTTAAAAAAAAACACTGCTTTAGACCCACGGGGCTTTTGCTTATCCACTGCTGGATGATGGCATCGCCAAACCTGTTCAGGCCACGGGGATATATTTTGTACCATACTGCACACCGGTTCGTGTGGGTTGGTGAAGGTGGCGAGCATAGATGTGGAAGCATGGAAATACAGTACAACGATTAATGTTGCTGTCAGCTGTGTGGCCTTGCAGCACCGCCGTAGCCTGTGCGCGTTGGTCACCCGTACGAATAATATCCACACGCGGGCCCGGCTCTCCTCCCCGAGATCTAACAAGATGGGGGGGCAAGTTGTGGGCGATGTGGTCACAGGCTGAGCTCGTGAGTGTCGTTGTCGTCCGTTGTGTACAGGATGATGGCTGCCATGCTGACGACGACGACGATGATATTGCCGCTGCTGCTGTGCGCGCTCTCCGCGTGTGCTCTGCCGGCCGGAACCGCTGCCCTGCCCCTCCCTGGCTCCTCTGTTCAGCTGCAGGTGCGCTACTTCGACCAAATCCTCGACCACTTCAACTTCAACTCCCAAGGGGACAAGACCTACAAGCAACGCTACCTCGTGTCAGGTGAGCTGCTGCTCCTGTTGTTGCTCCTGCTGCTGCTCCTACTGCTGCTCCTGTTTCTGATGCTGCTACTCCTGCTGTTCCTCCTGCTGCTGCTGCTGCTTCCGTAGAAACGAGAATCTTGGTGCCGAGCACTGCTGTGCACCCCTTTTGGTAAATCCACTGCTGGACGAGGGCCTCCCCCCACGTCATGCGGGTTGTGCGGGTTTACTTGAACTTACTTCACCAGGCGGGCCAGTGCTGCCATAGGCTTGCTGCCATGACATAGCTCAATATTGTGACTTCCCCAACATCCACGCGATTTTCAATTAATTGTGAACGGTTCATGATTCGGCCCTCATCAATTCGAAATTTTCCTAATTTGTGCATGGTAGCATCTGTAGGAGATACTGGCTTCACATGAACCAATAACAGCACGGGCTGTAAATGTTCGATTCTTAAATAGCACAATGTGTTAACTGGCTGCGCCACTGCTCTACACACACATACACAAAGATTCCCCATATAACCTTAACAGACTGTTGTGGCAAGTGCTGTTAGCGAGCACCTATGAAGGCGGTGGATGGTAGGATGCCAGCTGTCCGTCTCCCCAGTGAAAATATTTACACATTGTACGAGGTACTCATTTGAGGCTGATATAACCTAGGAAAGGCCCAGGATGGGTTCAAATAATTGTTCGGGAATTTAACTCGAGTCGCCAGGTTCGTAGGGTAGCGAGCTAACCACTAAACTACCGCTTCTCACAGATACAGATGCATGGATGATTGAACTGGTGGAGACGAAGGGCGACGTTCCTTGTTTTAAAAACCATAGGGCGCTAACCACAGTGAAGTGCCAGTTCAGATCTTTGTGCACCAAAAGTCACCAATAAGTTTCAGGGAAAGATTTTATCCCAACCCCCCCCCACCTCTCATTTATGGTGTATCCACACAGTCACTCCAAAGGGTAGGATCACACCATCAGAAGGTGAGATGGGCCAAACCCTTCAGCATCACAGCACAAATGTGGAATGATCTCCTATGAATGTAAGATTGTACTAACCAGACATGGCAACGAGTTAGCAAAGCTTGGCATCGATAATTATAGGGTCGTGCCACCAACATAAAATTAGCTATGCGTGGGCAATTCCGAATGTGTCAAGGATGGGGGGGCATGCGTCCTTGATACACGATTGGTTATAAAAACACCGGGGGCACGTGTGTAGCGAAGCTGACGAGCGCAGCGTTAATATTTAGGACCGGCGACGAAGGCGATGATCTTCCTTGAAATGTTTCTTTTAAAGGTGGGCGTTGGTTGCGCACGTCTCTAGCAATTTGGAGGTGAGGCTGCTGGTTCTTGACCCACCCAGATCCCACCCCCACTGACCCCCCCACCACCCTGGATGCACATGACTACAAAGGCTAGGCGGGCAACAAAAATAAGTCACTTGATTGAATTTCGTAACACAAACTAACCATTAACTTCAAAGCAGCCGAAGGCCACTTTTATTAGTAAACCCGATGCTGAGTTTCCACAAGCATTAGAGATTATACCAAAGCTTTGGTTTGTTGTCCTTCCCTCCGCACCTCCGATGAGCACGCTTGGCTATGTTCTGTACGGAAGAAGTTTAACATACAAAGCTGTGCTGGACCACTTTGGGACAGGTCCAGTACGGGCCGGGTTTTATCTCAATACGTGGGTCCTAGGGATTGTCTGCCCAACCCACTCCCTCCCATTTCTACTTTATTCTAAATTAGAACCGTCACTCCTTCTACCGTTGTGATCTCTGCCATCAATACGGAGACGTGCACATGCACGTAAACGTTGCCTTCAAATCATTTGCAAGTCAATTACCAGCAAGTCCATCTCTAACCCTCCACCACTCGACAGTTCCAATCAAATACAGTTGTGTAAGCGGTTTGTCAACATTTTTCTCGCTCTTCAACATTCCTCCAGTTTTGCTGCTAAACCAAATCAATCAGAACATTTGCCCACTACGTGACAACTTGACTTGATTGGCTGTCAAATTTTGGAGGGTTTTATAAAAAAAAATTGACATACCTTCACAGACCATCTAACCCAAAAGAAACGACTTGTGCATCACAGCATTGATTGTGAAAGTCTACGTATAAAATGATGTCTCGGTTTGTTAATTAAGGCCCGTTCAGTCGATCGCGTTATATCCAATTCGCATCTGCGTGATAAAAAAATGTGTTCCCTGGAACTGCCTCACGCCAGCAAACTTCTGTCGACTGCCGCTGGCCCTGTGTCCAAACCCAGCCTCGTGACGTGTTCTGCTTTTCCATTGGGCGTCTCTTCCTCTCTTCAAACCCAATATGCCCGCCATGTCCTGTACAGCCTGTTGAGATGCGGTTTTCGTATTGATGCGATCTAAATCTAAGTTGTACATTATTTCAAATGTTTTTGTACTGCACTACATTGTTGCCTTCGAGGCACAAATCTTGCTTGAACAAGAGACCAAATCTCTGCAGCATGCGCACTACGACATCGATTCGTCGATTGAAAATGCCCCTTTTGTCTTTTGAGGTGCAATGCGAGATCTTTGATCTTTGTGCGTGCGTTTTTAGTTTTTTTTGTGTGTGTTTTGACTTTCAGACCAGTACTGGGAGAAGGGCGTCGGACCGATTTTCTTCTACACGGGCAATGAGGGAGACATTTGGGCGTTCGCCAATAACACGGGCTTCATGATCGAGCTGGCGCAGGAGTTTAAAGCCCTCATCGTGTTCGCGGAGCATGTACGTCTCGCCGTCTACGCCCGTGCTGTCCCTGTGGTGTCCGTGAAGTTTCTACCTGCTGTTGTGCTCGCTCGTGGCTAGCGGGTGGCGCTCGCGGGTGGCGCTCGTGGGTGGCGGGTGGCGCTCGCGGGTGGCGCTCGAGCCAGGTCACTCGACTTGCAGATCGGGTGTCTTTAGATTCATCGGCGATCCTCCGCCGTCGATGACTTGGGTAGCAGTGATGGTAGCGAAGGGGACAGGAGAGAGGCCAATCGAGTCTCTCCGCGAATGAGCAATGGGGGCCATCGCTCGTGTCTCTCGTTATGTCTTTATTGGATCGAGTCCTGCGTTGGTCAGAGTAGTAGACTCTCGAGATGGGAGGCCGAGAGTTACAAACCTCTGCTTCATTCATCATCATCCTCTTGGGTTGATGCGCGAGTTGTATTTTATTCAGAAAATAAAAACCGAGCGAGGAGATAACAGATGTATTGCGAACAAATAAGAAGGCGGATAGGATGTGTCTAGAAGGATGCAAGAATTATAAAAAGTAACGTAATGTCACTGATATTGGACAAACATCACAATGCTAAGACATTGCCTGCAAATTTCTCAATTGGGTTTCCGCATAGCAGCCGCACCCCCACTGCAGGGAAGTTGGCAATGACCCTCCTGAGGAGAGTCTTGAGACTCATTGTGGCTTTCCTGGGTTGGGTGACTGTCTCCAACGCTCCAGCATCACCCACAGAGCTGCATGGGAGCAGTGCAATGTCAGTGATGTGACTAGAGCCTCACAATAACATTAAAGTGTTGTTTTAGTTTCTCACTGACAAAGCTCGGAACTCTTGTCAGACAGCCGGGAAAACGCAGCCTCGGTGCGAGCCCATTGATGTTGATCTGCGTCTTTCACCAAGAACTAGACTATAAGCTAAACCATTTTTTATTTATTTTACCAGGTAAGACCCACTGAGCCTACATGGCTCTTTTTCAGAAGCGACCAGTCCACAAATGATGGCTCATTGAAGTGGCTCATCATTTGGAAATTTAACGCAGCGAAATAATCTAATCATATGGTGATTCTAAATTTGGAGGGAAAATCCGGAGGAGGAAATCTTCGTGACCATGGGGAAAACATGATAACTCCAAATATACAGGTGTCAGGGTTGGGGTTGAACCCACGATCTCCTGCATCCCAGGCGAGGGAGATGACATCTCACCACCGCGGTGCCCATTGTTGGTTCCCAGCGTGCACCAAGTGTCCTGAGAGATCTATGTCTTTGTGGTACGGCAATCACACTGCAGTGGCTTATCATGTGGAAATGTATATCAGCCAAATACTCTAAAGTATGATGCACAATGTACGTATGCTTCTATCGCCACCGTACGTAGCCAACTGTGCTAATCGGAGGCGGGACAACTCTCATCTCGTCGCACTCTTTGCCTTTGACGGCAGCGGTACTATGGCGAGAGCCTCCCTTTCGGGAAGGATTCCTTCCGACTGGACACCATCGGCCTGCTGACCATCGAGCAGGCGCTGGCGGACTTCGCCGTGCTGCTCGACAGCATCAAGCAGAACTTCGGGGCCCAGAAGTCCAAGGTGGTGTCGTTCGGAGGAAGGTGAGAGCGGGGATGGGCGGCCGTGTGTGACCAAATCGACGGCCGTCGGTTACCCCTCGTTTGCCTGGCGCCCAAGTCAACACATGCCTCCTCATATTCTTAGCTCTTTCGGTAAAGTCACGTTATATATATATTTTATTATTTTATTGCTTCCCTTCAACGTGACTTTACCGAAAGAGCTAAGAATATGAATTACTGCAGTCACGAAAGCTTTAAATCAAAACATGCCTCCTCCTGACTTCCCAAGTCAACACACGCCTTCTCCTGAATTCCCAAGTCAACACACGCCTCCTCCTGAATTCCAAAGTCAACACACACCTCCTCCTGAATTCCAAAGTCAACACACGCCTCCTCCTGAATTCCCAAGTCAACACATGCCTCTTCCTGAATTCCCAAGTCAACACATGCCTCCTCCTGAATTCCCAAGTCAAAACATGCCTCCTCCTGAATTCCCAAGTCAAAACATGCCTCCTTCTGAATTCCCAAGTCAAAACATGCCTCCTGAATTCCCAAGTCAAAACATGCCTCCTCCTGAATTCCCAAGTCAACACACGCCTCCTCCTGAATTCCCAAGTCAACACATGCCTCCTCCTGAATTCCCAAGTCAACACACGCCTCCTCCTGAATTCCAAAGTCAACACACTCGTAGGTCCGGTTTTCTCGAAGGGGGTTCGTGATGGCTTCATGAGAGGCTTGAGCCTGCAACGGTGGGTCTGAAATCAGAGTTTCGGCTGCCAGTGATTAAACTGGGCTCTCAAGTGAGGTCTCGATCAGTGACTGTACAAACTCGAGCCACCGTACGTCGAGATTGAATTTGATTTTTGTTTACTCCATAGGAGAGAGTTAAAGTAATTTTTATGACTATTGAAACACAGTAATCTACAAGGTGTGGAGAAGATGGGGAGGAGTGATGTGTGGTGGAGTGGGACTGCGTGAGGTGTTTGTCGCCAATCGGAAACTGCACTTTACACACTGGGCCTGATAAGAATTGCATTTAAAAAAGTATAATAACCGGTCAAATTGGCATATGAATAGATGCCTATTAGTAGCTATTGAATACCAAACAAACCCTTCTATCAATCAAAGTATTACTAAATGGCCATTCTTCATGTGCTATGAAGAAGGGCTAATGTCGCCTATTGTACATACAGTACTCTTCCATTTGAGGCCACTGTCATTTGACCGGTGTAAGTTTTGTTATTTATACTCCTCCACCGCTGCCAAAGAAGGTGTCACCAAAGAACTTGTCCATTTTAGAATTTGCTCCATAGGCCACCTCTGGTTGTAATTCCATTTCTGTCTGGCTATCGCAGCGTGCCCTGTGTCGCCCCTCCCACATCACCTCTCCGTGCGTCTCTGTGAGTGTGTGTGTGTGTGTCCGCCTGGCACAAGCATCGTGGTGACGTCACCGGCACTTAGTGGCGAATGGCGGTTGTTGTTGTCCGCGTGTGTGTGTCTGTGTGTCTGTGTCTTTTTTCTCATCTTCAGCTATGGAGGAATGCTGAGCGCCTACTTCCGCATGCACTACCCCCATCTGGTGGACGCTGCCCTGGCCGCCAGTGCCCCCATCCCCTTCGTGTCTGGACAGGGAGACCCCCTGCAATTCTTCCGGGATGTCACGGCTGTGAGATACGCATACCAAGATCCACCGTGTAGCCTTCACAGACTGTCGGGGCAAGTGCTGTTAGCGAGTAGCACCTAATGAAGGCCGGCACGAGGAGGTGGTGTGGTCAAAACCACAGCCGGCCGCCTTTGTCACCCCAGTGGCGATGTTTACACACCATACAACATGCTCATTTGAGGCTGAGTCGACCTCGGGGAGGCCCAGGACCGGTTCAGATATTCGTCACTGGTGTCGGCCATCTGTGGGAATCGAACTCGGGCCGCCGCGTTCGTAGCGCAGCGTGCTCACCGCTACGCTACAGCTCCCTACCCTACGGCTGTGAGATGCACACACACGCACACAGTCCCTCGCACGGCTTCAAGTGTGCCGAGGTTACATATGCCGTGCCAAGTACACGGTTAAGGCTTGGCCATGGGGGGAGGCCATGGACAAGTTCGGACGCGATTCTCATTCCGTGGGTAGTGCATCATCGTATGGCGCCTGAGCTGTCATGGTGCCTGAGCTGTGATGGTGCCTGAGCTGTGATGGTGCCTGAGCTGTGATGGTGCCTGTATGGTGCCTGAGCTGTGATGGTGCCTGTATGGTGCCTGGGCTGTCATGGTGCCTGTATGGTGCCTGGGCTGTCATGGTGCCTGTATGGTGCCTGAGCTGTCATGGTGCCTGTATGGTGCCTGGGCTGTCATGGTGCCTGTATGGTGCCTGGGCTGTGATGGTGCCTGTATGGTGCCTGAGCTGTCATGGTGCCTGTATGGTGCCTGGGCTGTCATGGTGCCTGTATGGTGCCTGGGCTGTCATGGTGCCTGTATGGTGCCTGAGCTGTCATGGTGCCCGTATGGTGCCTGAGCTGTGATGGTGCCTGTATGGTGCCTGAGCTGTGATGGTGCCTGTATGGTGCCTGAGCTGTGATGGTGCCTGTATGGTGCCTGAGCTGTGATGGTGCCTGTATGGTGCCTGAGCTGTGATGGTGCCTGTATGGTGCCTGGGCTGTGATGGTGCCTGTATGCTGCCTGGGCTGTCATGGTGCCTGTATGGTGCCTGGGCTGTCATGGTGCCTGTATGGTGCCTGAGCTGTGATGGTGCCTGTATGGTGCCTGAGCTGTGATGGTGCCTGTATGGTGCCTGAGCTGTGATGGTGCCTGTATGGTGCCTGTATGGTGCCTGGGCTGTCATGGTGCCTGTATGGTGCCTGGGCTGTCATGGTGCCTGTATGGTGCCTGGGCTATCATGGTGCCTGTATGGTGCCTGGGCTGTCATGGTGCCTGTATGGTGCCTGGGCTGTGATGGTGCCTGTATGGTGCCTGAGCTGTGATGGTGCCTGTAAGGTGCCTGAGCTGTGATGGTGCCTGTATGGTGCCCGAGCTGTGATGGTGCCTGTATGGTGCCTGAGCTGTGATGGTGCCTGTAAGGTGCCTGAGCTGTGATGGTGCCTGTATGGTGCCTGAGCTGTGATGGTGCCCGTATGGCGCCCGGGCTGTGAGCCCCCCAGGCCAACCAGCCGCAGGAACAAGAGCAGAAAAATCTACGTGACCACAGGGAGAACATGCAAACTCCAAATATGCTGGTGTCTGGGTGGGGATTGAAGCCACGAGCTCCTGGATACAAGGCGAAGGAGACAACATCTCGCCACCGCAGTGCCCATTGCTAGCTCCCAGCATGCACCACGTGTACTGAGAGAGCGGTGTTTTCGTGGTATGGCTTTCACACTAGATTAGAAGCGTTCGTGAAGGCACACTGCCTATGTGTGTGTGTCTCTCTGTCTCTGTGAGTCTCTCTCTTCTTGTGTGTCTGTCTGTGTGTCTCCGTGTCCATGTTTTATCTCTCAAATTTAGCGATCTTTGGAAGAACATAATCAACCAGGTGGGGTGTTAACTGTTGTGTTAGCCAACTCTCTGTGTCATTGTATTATATTTCCAGGTTTACTATATTTGTTTTCTCATTCATTTGTACCTGATGATGGTTGCTTGTGTTGCAATCGAAACGTCGTATTCTATTATTATTTAATTTAATGGCTTTCACACTGAAGTGATGTCACTGGTTGGCTTTGCGCGATTTAATTTTGATATTTCTTTATTCTTCTTGTAGGACTTTGAGAAGTACAATCCTAAGTGCCCGGACATAGTGAGGGCTGGTTTCATTGAACTCAAGAAACTTGCCGACAAACAAGGTAAGTTTGATAGGTGCCACAGACATTGCTTTCTCGCTCATGAAATTCCTCTGGAATTCTATAAAGTACTATATTTTTTACCAGGTAAGGCCCACTGAGCTATATAGCTTTTTTTCATAAGCGACCTGGCCACAAATTATAGCTCAACAAAGTGGCTTATCACATGAAAATTTATAGCAGCCAAATACTCTAAAACGCAATTTTCTAGACGTGGAGGGAAAAACCGGAGGACCCGGAGCAAAATCCACACGACAACGGGGACAGGGAACATGCTAACTCAAAATATACAGCAGTCGTCAGGGTTGGGATCGAACTGGCGACCTCCTTTATACCAGGCGAGGTAGTTAACATCTCGCTACCGTGGCAAGATGTTAAAAATCTCTATTGACTCGCTGTACTTCGGGGATTCTTATCGTATCTTCTAAATCTGACTGGTGGCGTCCAAACAAACTCGGATCAACCTCGCCGTTCCTCTTCAATCTACGTCGCTCTCCCACGGTAAACCCTGAGCAAAGCTTGTTGGCCAAAAGCTTGAGATTTCTTCTGAATGGGAGTGGAAAAAAACTGGTTTGATTCAACTTCATTTTAAAAGTTAAATGGCGAGGTGATATCTGAACCCTGTCGTGGGGTATGCGGTCCCCCCTTGAACCCACACTGACCGGTGTGATGAAATATGGTCAAATAACCCCCATGCCCCGCACAGCACAGGGATTCGCTCGTCCAGCTGTGGATTGCCAAGAGCTGTGCGTGTGTACACACAGAGAAAGGTGGCCATGCGTGGCATTGGACGCCCACCTCCTCGTGGGCAGTACTGCACTTCATTAGGCACTTCTAATCTCGAATATCACTTGAGCCAGCGGTCTGTTGAAGTCTACACTGGTGATCTTTGTGTGCGCTTTGTGTTCAGAGTGGGCTCAGATAGCGCAGCGGATGCGCCTGTGCCAGGCTCCCAGCTCTGCTGCGGACGTGCGGCACATGTACGGCTGGGCGCGGAATACCTTCACCTACCTGGCCATGCTGGACTACCCCTACGCAGCCTCCTTCATGGGCTCGCTGCCTGCTAACCCGGTCAACGTGGGTGTCACGCCGCCCGCACGCGATTAAGCACGGAGCACTGCCACTAACACGGCACACGCACGGTATTAGGTGGGGTGCCACGGTGGCAAGATGTTAACTACCTTGCTTGGTATACAGGAGATCGTGGGTTCGATCCTGACCTTGACACTGGTTTGCATGTCACTCTTCCCGTGGTCATTTGGATTTTTCTCTGGGTACGGTTTTTCTCTCCACATTTATAATCAATATCATGTATTTAGAGTATTTGCTTGCTATACATTTCCACGTGATGATAAGCCACTTCCTTGAGCTATCATTTGTGGCCAGGTCGCTTCTGAAAAAGAGCTGTATAGCTCAGTGGGCCTTACCTGGTAAAATAAAAATCTTAGCATACACAGAATGCGAGCACTGCGACAGGAACATAGGATCACGTGTGATTAAGTGTTTGCATGCGCCACCAAGTTTGGTGCGATGCGCTCCTAGAGTGCTGCGTATTAAGCCAGCAGATAAAATGTGCAACCGTTATGGTTGGGACTTGAACTGTGGTGGGTATCCTATGTAGGGAAGACTGAGCACTGCCATTAGTTGTGCAACTGCAGTGGTGGCTCCCAGCATGCACCACTCATAATGGTGCAGCCGCAATATGGCTCCCACCATGCACAGTGGCTCCCAGCATGCACCACTCATCGTGGTGCAGCTGCAATTGTGGCTCCAAGCATGCACCACATGGCAGTGTGGTTATCAGATGTTACAGCAGATACCACTGGTGCCACTAGAGGGCACTGGCGGTTTGCATGAACATTGAGGACTTTCAATATTATTTTTTCTTTCAGTGTAAGAAGCTGCTAACCCGTTTCCAACAGCCCAGCATGCATGGAGTCTGTGGTTCTACAAACTGAGAGCCAAGTGGGTTTTTGTGTTGCGCGTTCCGTTCGTGTGCTTCTGCATAGGTGGCCTGTGACCTGCTGCTCAACAGCAAAGATCCTCTGGATGGACTGATGCAAGCTGTCGGTAAGCTCGAACTAAACCCTCCAGTGTCTTCCTGCTCAAAGTTTGTACGTATATAGGTTTAACTTCTTTTGCACTGTACATAGCCAACCGTGCTAATTGGAGGTGCGGGCGAAAAATAAACTAAACACGAACTAGTTTTAAGCAAATTCGTTTTAGATCTCGATGATTTAAAAGTGCATAGCTCCAGTGGCTTCCTAATCTCGAAAGGAAGAGTATTCAAGACGGCCGCGGAAGTGCATCTGCAAGGGTGACTATGTACGTGTAGTACGTACCGGCCTTCATAGGTTCTACTTGTTAAACAACACGTGCCCTAACGGGCTATACGGGCGGACCTTTGTCTTCGTATGTATGTTGAACTTCTTTCGCACCGTACATAGCCAACCCTGCTAATCGGAGGTACAGGAGCTGTTGATAACATAGCCAATATGAAGTGCTGTGATGCTGATTGGGTTCAATTCCTGGTAGTGGATCTTTTTTATCTCACTTTGTAAGATAAAAATTGTTATTTTGTATATATTTTTAGAGTTTTTTATATATATATTTCCTATACTTTGCAATCCTCTCATGTTTTTATTTTGTTGTGACCTTTCTGACCTGCCCCAACTGGACATCTGTGAAAAAGAGCTTTTATTAGCTCATTGGATTCCTCGAGTAAAAATAAATATTCGAATTCTGCTCCTGGATCAACCCGAGTTGGACTTTGAGGGAGACTCATTCTTTAAATGGGTGTCTGGTGCGTGGTGTAAATGTCAAAACCTCAACACTGGGGTGACGAAGGCAAAGCAGCTGTGGTGCTGATCACACCACCTCCTCATGTGCCGGCCTTCATTGGGTGCTCACTTAACTGCATTTGCCCCAACAACATGTATTTGCAATGGGGGGGGTGGGAGGAGTCTTTGTCTGTGTGTCTGTCTATTGTATGGGTGTGCGTGTGTCTGTGTACATGTGTGCACACACATGCTCCGTGGTGAAGTTAACCTCCGGCAATTAATAGCAAACGGCGAATGTTTTCCGTGTCCAGCTCTCTTCTACAACACTAGTGGAACGGCCAAGTGTCTCGATCCAGCAGCGGAGTTCATCGAGTGCGCAGACCCCACTGGGTGTGGATTAGGCCCCGACAGCCTGGCCTGGGACTACCAGGTGATGTCCCATCACCACCAGCACAGTGACCATTACATCACCACCCTGAACCACCATCACTATCACTGCCATCCCTGCAATAACCATCATTATTACGGTCATGATCACCATTGTGATTACCTGCACATCGATGTCACTCCGCCTCCCTCCTGATCGCACGGCACGCGGTAGCAGAGCCCTTGACATAGCGGCCACGACTCCACAGGAAACCGGACAATTTCACAGTTGTTTTGCTCCAATATCGGTGTGCTCCATTGCTGTATTTTTTTATTTTTTTGCTTGTCATTTTGGAGACCCGTCTCACTCTTGCGAAATGAGACTGTCCGCGTGTCCCGAGTACTCGCCTGGTTACACGAACTATACTCGACGACAAATTCCACATGTGCCATGCCTACTGCTGCTTGTCACCACTTTTTCCGCCACCATTACCGCTGCCTGCACCGTTACTGCTGCCCGCTGCCTCCGTGGGCCGTCCCTTCCGCTAACGCTGCACCCGCGCCTGCGCCCGCGAGAGCGTGTGCAGGCGTGCACGGAGATCAACCTGCTGTGCTCCACCAACAACGTGAGCGACATGTTCCCCGCCCTGCCCTACACGGCAGCCGCGCGGCGCGAATACTGCGCCAAGCGCTGGGGCGTGGTGCCACGCGAGACCTGGCTCGCCACGCAGTACTGGGGCAAGGGTGAGCAACACCCACACAGCTTGGACCCCCGGGGGTGGCACAGGCTGGCCAGATAGATCAGGCTAGCTGAGGGGAGGGAGTGGTGGCGCAGGGTGGCGCAGGGTGGCAGGGTGGCGTAGGGTAGCAGTGCCGGTGCAAGGTGTCACAGGGACTAATCCTCATTTCGGGGCACTACTTTGGCATAGCTGAGATATCTGACCTGCCCATACTCATCGGACTCCTCCAGTCTAAATAAAGATTCTGATCCTGGGTTTAGATTACAGATTTGAGCTGCTTTTCTATTAAAACCCAGATTCTCAATTGCAGAGTTGATGACCTCAGCCTTGTTTCCAATTAACTGCTCAAACATTTTAAACGGCTCGTGTGAATTCGGGAGGCTCAGAATGTGGACGTCAAAGAAACTTTGCTTGGATCCGCTGGCTGTTGGTGCCACCCTGGAAGCAGCAGCCAGGATTTTATTTCCCCCTCTACATTACTTTAGATTGATAGTTTTAATAAAGGAGATAAAATCATACCCACTTGTTTAGCGTTCCGTAGCCTGTAATTTGGTTTTATTTACAGAAAAACAAAAGTAAATCCTTGGGTTCTCGCTGGCAGTCTCTCTGGGCATGGCGTTACCCACAAGGCCCTATTTGAGTGAAACACATTCAGCTCTTCTAGATTTGAAGCTTTCGTGACTGCAAGGATCCATACTCTTTGGTTCTATTCGGTAAAGTCACGTAGGTAAAAAATAAAACAACAAAAATCACGACGTTTCGGCCACAACACAAGTGGCCTTCATCAGGTGAAGGGACCGGACTGTCCAGAGGACAGCGTTAGAGTGAAGACAGCCAAGCCCAGGTCGCGTCCTTTAAGCTGATTGGGAGGAAACAAAAAACGCCTTGACAAAGGAATTAGCATAAAATGATGTACTGGACCGGCACGGGGGGAGGGGAGTTTACATAATGTTGGTGTGAAGGGAAATAAGCTGCTGTGAAAGTTTGGGATACCACTACTTGAATAAATATACATTCAGCTCTCCCATGCTTCCAGCCACCCATAATTTCCGTAGCATTTTGGCCGATTTAGATTACTTAAGTGGGGACATTAGTTAAAAAAACAATTGCTTTGTAAATGTTGTGGCTTTGCTCTCCAACACACTGGTGTGCTGTACTAGTAACGAATTGGCATGTTCTGTTTACGTGACAAACCTTACTAATTGGCTGTGTCCGGGTGGTGGCGGGTTTAAATACAGACTTATATATTTACGTGTTATAACCCAAAAAACCTGTAAAATTTGAGGATAAAGTTGCGTTGTTATTTGGGACTTACCTTTAAGAAAACTGGCCCAATTGACTAATAGGGTTCCAAGTTGCGGAGACAAACCATAAAAAATATATGATTTGTGAATCTGAAAAACGCATTTGCCCACAACCAGTATCTGTAGACCTCCTTACTGCCAATTAAATACCTCTAACAAAAAACTCATTGGTGGAAAGAGTTGCATCATCGATGCAAATGTAATGAGTTTCTTGACCGGCATCCCGTCCATCTCCTAGACGTGAACTCCTCAAGCAACATCATCTTCTCCAACGGAAACTTGGATCCGTGGGGAAACGGAGGGGTGAGTTGAATGAACGAATCGGTCGCTTGACAACTGGGTCCCAGGTTCAATAAAAAAAAAACACACACACGCACGTTCTCTTGAGCATATGGGCCAAGTATGGGTCGGCCGAGGGCACTCGTAGATTGGCCATGTTGGAGAGAGATTTCGGTGATGTTCCGGTGGCTGAGTGAGCTCATGCCTTGTTCGGAGCCGCCAATGTCCTGTGTTTGAGTCTGCGTGTCAGCCGTCCGTGCCTAAACCAGGGTCTCAAGTGTGGCGTGATTGTGGTACCAGCGTGAATGACGCTGTGTAAAATTAAAGTCATACTATTTTTTTAAATAAATTATTTTCAAGCTATTGTGTAAACATTTTGTTTGCCACACTTGAGGGATGCCAACACGAGAGTTTTGGTTGACGTTTGCACCGAGGTCACCGGCAGATCACACGGAATGGCCGTGGCTCTTGAGCAACCACAACTCGTGACGCACAGATAGGTGCATCACCCGAACTCTCAACTAACACACAGGGGTCTCAATTATTCCAGCAAATCTCCATGGACACAAGGGGTCTTAATTAGTATGAGGCTGACCATATTTACACCTCAAGTGTTCATGATTGTAATGGTTTTTTTGCCGCTAAAATGAAAATTGGTCAGTGCTCGTCAAATATTGCAAGTCCTCATCTTAGAGTGGTTCAGGATTCTGTCCATCCTGGAAGCGATGAGTCAATCCCAGACCGGTACCGAGCACGTGACCGTGGTTGGGAGTCGTACCTAGTCCGCATTTATGACTGGCTGACACCAGATGTTGCTGCAGTTCAGGGCGCTTTTCTCTCAGTCAGAAGGTTGAGAGTTTAAATCCTGGTCGGCGAGTCGTTCAGCCCACGGTCTTGCCTCCACAATGCAGGGACCTTTGCTTTTTTATCTTTTCCCATCACATTCACCTCTACATCTCGGAACGTGCAAGCAGCTCAGCGTTAACTTTATTTAGAGAGGCATAGTAGCGCCGTTGTTTTAAACGGCATTGCTCTCACCGCAGAGAACCGTAGCGACAGGACCGCACTCTACAGTAGCCGGTGCCAAACTGTGCCACATGCCCTCCCGCATGGCCTTGTGGGAGCCTCGGTACCGATAAAGTTATTTGTAGTTTTTTTCTTCCAGTTTCATTTTGATGATATACAATATAGATTTGAAGTTTTCGTGACTGCAGGGATCCATACTCTTTGGTTCTTTCGGTAAGTCACGTAAGTAGAAATAAAATTAAATCACGACGTTTCGGGCGCAATCACGACGTTTCGGGGTTCCACCTGATGACGGACGCTTGTATTGCGCCCGAAACGTGATTTAATTTAATTTTATACCTACGTGACTTTAGCGAAAGAACCAGAGTATTGATGATGTACAGTGAGGGAAAAAAGTATTTGATCCCCTGCTGATTTTGTACGTTTGTCCACTGACAAAGAAATGATCAGTCGATAATTTTAATGGTAGGTTTATTTGAACAGTGAGAGACAGAATAACAACAAAAAAATCCAGAAAAACGCATGTCAAAAATGTTATAAATTGATTTGCATTTTAATGAGGGAAATAAGTATTTGACCCCCTCTCAATCAGAAAGATTTCTGGCTCCCAGGTGTCTTTTATAGAGGTAACGAGCTGAAATTAGGAGCACACTCTTATAGGGAGTGCTCCTAATCTCAGTTTGTTACCTGTATAAAAGGCACCTGTCCACAGAAGCAATCAATCAATCAGATTCCAAACTCTCCACAATGGCCAAGACCAAAGAGCTCTCCAAGGATGTCAGGGACAAGATTGTAGACCTACACAAGGCTGGAATGGGCTACAAGACCATTGCCAAGCAGCTTGGTGAGAAGGTGACAACAGTTGGTGCGATTATTCGCAAATGGAAGAAACACAAAAGAACTGTCAATCTCCCTCGGCCTGGGGCTCCATGCAAGATCTCACCTCGTGGAGTTGCAATGATCATCAGAACGGTGAGGAATCAGCCCAGAACTACACGGGAGGATCTTGCCAATTATCTCAAGGCAGCTGGGACCATGGTCACCAAGAAAACAATTTGTAACACACTACACCGTGAAGGACTGAAATCCTGCAGCGCCCGCAAGGCCCCCCTGCTCAAGAAAGCACATATACATGCCCGTCTGAAGTTTCCCAATGAACATGTGAATGATTCAGAGGACAACTGGGTGAAAGTGTTGTGGTCAGATGAGACCAAAATGGAGCTCTTTGGCATCAACTCAACTCGCCGTGTTTGGAGGAGGAATGCTGCCTATGACCCCAAGAACACCATCCCCACCGTCAAACATGGAGGTGGAAACATTATGCTTTGGGGGTGTTTTTTCTGCTAAGGGGACAGGACAGCTTCACCGCATCAAAGGGACGATGGACGGGGCCATGTACCGTCAAATCCTGGGTGAGAACCTCCTTCCCTCAGCCAGGGCATTGAAAATGGGTCGTGGATGTGTATTCCCGCATGACAATGACCCAAAACACACGGCCAAGGCAACAAAGGAGTGGCTCAAGAAGAAGCACATGAAGGTCCTGGAGTGGCCTAGCCAGTCTCCAGACCTTAATCCCATCGAAAATCTGTGGAGGGAGCTGAAGGTTCGAGTTGCCAAACGTCAGCCTCGAAACCTTAATGACTTGGAGAAGATCTGCAAAGAGGAGTGGGACAAAGTCCCTCCTGAGATGTGTGCAAACCTGGTGGCCAACTACAAGAAACGTCTTACCTCTGTGATTGCCAACAAGGGTTTTGCCACCAAGTACTAAGTCATGTTTTGCAGAGGGGTCAAATACTTATTTACCTCATTAAAATGCAAATCAATTGATAACATTTTGGACATGCGTTTTTCTGGATTTTGTTGTTATTCTGTCTCTCACTGTTCAAATAAACCTACCATTAAAATTATAGACTGATCATTTCTTTGTCAGTGGGCAAACGTACAAAATCAGCAGGGGATCAAATACTTTTTTCCCTCACTTGTACGTGTACGTCATCTGAACGGGAAAGGGTTAAGAAGTCAACGGTGGTCATATCCAGACTGGTCTTGGACATCAGAATGTGGAATTTCCCCGCTGGCTTGCTCACGGCCACCGTGGGAGACGAGCGTTGACCCTCGCCCTGTCCGGGGTTTGTGTCCGAGCAGTTCCAGCACGACGTGGGCGGTAACGTCGCTGTGAAGGTCATAGGAGGCGCCCACCACCTGGACCTAAGGTGAGCCCACATCGTATTGGTGGTGGTGACGGCGAGGGTGGTGTTGTGCTTGGTGGCGGCGATGGTGGTTGTTGCACATATGCAGAACTTCTGTTTGCAGCGTACGTTGCCAACTTCCGAATATCGGAAGGAGGAGTGTTCCAGACGGCCGCAGAAGCGCATGTGAAAGTTCTACATGGCAGCGATGGTGCCGTTGACGGCGACCCCTCATTTGTAAATAATGCCGAGGATTGAGAATTTACAAGATGCCCACGAGCTGGGTTTTGGAGGTGATGCCATTTGTAGGTGGCAGTACAGCAAGTAGACTGTGGTACGTGGATCAGAATTTGGCATTGTGTTATTTTCCAGCATTCCTGTAAACCTCCCACACACATACTCAAACATGGAATTTGCCAAAACATCCCAATGCAGGAGCCTTCTGAAAATGGATCCACGCCTCCGTGCGGCTTCCCCTGGATAAATCTCCTTCATGTATAAGTGAGCTGTGGCCGTATTTTGCTTGGTCCGAACCAACTTGGTATTTCCACATTTTTATGGGTCGGGTTAGTCTCTACACATCTCGCTGCTCAAGAGGCGCCACGGTGGCTAGGAGATGTCATCTCCCTCGCCTGGTATGCAGGAGGTCGTGGGTTCGATCCCGACCCTGACGCCTGCTGCTGCTGCTGTAGATTTGGAGTTTGCGTGTTCTCCCTGTGGTCGTGTGGATTTTTTTTTCCTCCAGGTCCTCCGGTTTTTCTCCTCCACATTTAAAATCAATGTGCGTTTGGAGTATTTAGATTATTTGGCTGCTATAAATTTACACGCCACTTCGTTGAGCTATCATTTGTGGGGAAGTCACTTCTGAAAAAGTATATCAAAGCTCTGGGCTTTTACCTGCTAAAATAAAACCTAGACATTTTTAGTGATTTTTTTTCCTTTTCCTGAAACGTTGCACTCCAGGCTTGTTTTAGTAATGTTTGTTGTTACTTTCTGACCCACTCCTACTGGACATCTTTGAAAAAGAGCCGCATAGCTCATCGGATTCCTCCAGTGTCAATAAAATATTCTGATTCTGCTGCTCGTGTGTTTTCATCCCAGAGCTTCCGTCTTGGGCCATTTGCAGGAGGGAAGAGTGATTTCTCATTTTGTGTTTCAGGTACTCGAACCCAGCTGACCCGGAGTCTGTTGTCACTGCCCGCAAGCTGGAGTCCGCTCTGCTGCACACCTGGCTAGCTGTTTAAACCGCGAGAGTCGCTGCCACAGACACACACGCTCGTGCTCAGCCTGCCAGCCACGAGGCAATATTCCACGGGTCTCCTTGCTCGGACAGTTTATCAACAGGTTGGCCAAATTACAAGTTTACACAGTGGCACTGCTCGCTTCATTATCCACCCTGCCGGGATAATAATTAGCATGATTCCCTCCACAACTGGGTATCTGAACCCCGTGGCCTTTTCCGACTGAGAATCCAAGTGCTGTGGTAGCCACAATCGAACCAGTGTCCGCAAATAATCTTTCCCCCACACCTCCGATTAGCACGGTTGGCTATTCGAAAGAAGTTCAACACACGCACACAGAAGAGTCTCAATCTGTGGAGCACCTCCGTTTTACATTATTCACGATTCCCCACAGATAAGTGGGGTCAATTTACCACTAGGCTCGGTGTAGCTTAATGTCGTCTTCCTATTTGCCTGCACAAATCGTGGACGAGCGGCTTGAAGATCCACAGCCAAACATGGGAAGAGTCACGGATTGGCCACATCCGGAAGTTCTCGGGGAGCTGCAGGCGAGAGGAGTTTCCCTGTTGGTTCACAGGCACATAAAAAATAAACTTGACAGCAAACATCCAGGATGCCGAGTTGTTATCAAGTGTCGCTGGAATAAGCAGATATGGTCTGGTGGATTCCCATATTCACCACCAGGTAACAAATCCCAGGTCCGTGGTCAATCCTTTCACTCCACCACCACTCTCCGTGGTTGATCAAATAATAGCCACTTGTGAGCAAGTTCTGTGGAGAGACCGGTGCCCTTAATGGGAATGTGGAACCGCCATCGGTAGTACAGGGTCACCAGAGATGAGCATCACCAATTGGATCCGCGTATCAAATCCTGCTCGATGCATCAGCCTCAATGGGCATGGCATTAATTCCACCTGGAGTCTTAAACGGGCTGAATTGAAGAAATTAACTTGGATTTATTAACATTTGTATCAAAAGTATTCATTAATTTTGATTATTACAAACACAATAGGGAAAAGATCGTGTTAGATATGCCACTATTTTATTCAGCTTGGGGTGGTACAGTGGCTTGGAGCACTCCACTCCCAACCTGAAGGTGTTTAACTTTCAAATACCAGCTGCTGATTGTTTGAATAGAGGAATTAATCTACAAATCATCCATGTGGGATACTAACAGTGGCCGTTCTATGGGAACTGCCACCAAAGGAAGGTTGGAATTTCCGCCACTGGCTCTGGGGATACTTCATTTTAGTAGCAGGAAGCTTCGATTTTGAAAAAAAAAGAATTAAATACTGTAGTCCATACCATTTGCCCAAAATTGTATAAGATGTAATTTGGTTCACGATACAAGCATTTAAACTTGTGCTGACGATGCAGTTACGTACACGGTATGCACATTTTTACACATTTGTAATTCGTGAAGGAGTAAAATTTTAGTTGCATGTAACCAACGAGACGGACAATACAACAGCAGGAATAAGAACAAATCCCCGAAGTCAAATTGTGCCATGGAATCGTGGCGATTGAATCTGTTCTGTGCCCAAACCAAATAGACGTTTGTCCACTTGCTGAAATGAAAACAATTATTTGAATTGGGGAGGCACTTGACAAAAAACTAAAAATTTAAGTAAACGATGTATTTTTTAAAAAAGTGGTATCCACACAGCTGCTGAAGTCGCTTTGGCGGTCGAGGGTCTTCGTAGTGGCAAAGCTGCTGGGATGGACGAGATTTGCCCAGAGTTGAAAGCGCTGGACGGTGTAGGAGTGTCGTGGTAAACACGCCTCTTCACTGTTGCATGGAAGGCGGGTACGTACATCTGGATTGGCAAACTGGAGTCGTGATTCCCATATTTTATTAAAAGAGGACCAGAGGGTGTGTTCCAACTACAGAGGAATCGCACTCATCAGCATCCCAGGTAAAACTTATGCCAGAGTGCTGGACAGGAGGCTCCACCCAGTAATTGAGCCTCAGGTTCAGGAGGAACAATGTGGATTTTGTCGTTTTCATGGAGCAATGGATTTCTCAGATATTTGAAGGGTCATGGGAGTACGCTTCTCCAGTCTACCTCTTGTAGACTTGGATAGGTCATGTGACCGTGTTCCCTGCAATGTCTTGTGGGAGGTGCTGTGGGAGTATGATGTATCATTGCTGCTTTTGCACTATCCAGTCCCTCTATTCCCGGAGTGAAAGCTGTGTCCATATTCTTGGTGTTAAATGAAAGTCGTTCACTGTGGGTGTTGGACTCCGCCAAAGGTTCGTCTTTTTTGAGATTTTCATGGACAGAATATCAAGGTGCAGCCGAGGTATGGAGAGTATCCAGTATGGAGGCATGGAGGTGACATCTCTGATTTTGGCAGATGATGTCCTCTTGGCCTCGTCAGTCTGTGACCTCCAGCGTGCACTTGAACGGTTTGATGCCGAGTGTGAAGCGGCAGGGATGAGGATCAGCACCCCCAAATTTGCGTCATGGTTCACTCCCCGGGAGGTGGGGAATTGTTCTCTCCAGGTGAGGGGGGAACAGCTGCCCTTAGTGGAGGAGTTTAAGTACCTCGGGGTCTCTTTCGCGAGTGATGGTAAGTGGGAGCGACAGATCGGCCAGCGGATCGGTGCAGCGTCTGCAGTGTTGCGGGCACTGCACCGTTCTGTGGTAGTGAAGTTGGAGCTGAGTTCTCGAGCAAAGCTATCAGTTTACAGGTTGATCTACATTCACATCCTCACCTATGGTCATGAGTGTCGGTTAACGACCGAAAGGATGAGATCCCGGGTACAAGGGGCCAAATGAGGTTTCTCCGCAGGGTTGCCGGGCTCACTCTGTGATCGGGCGAGGCGCTCGGTAATCCAGGAGAGCCTCAGAGTCGAGCCGCTGCTCCTCCAAATCGAGAGGAGCCAGTTGAGGTAGTTCGGGCACCTGGTAAGGATGCCGACTGGTAGACTCCCCCTGGATCTCTATCAGGCACGTCCCACGGGGCGAAGACCCTGGGGTTGGCCCCAGGACACGCTGGCAGGAGTGTCGCTCAGCTGGCCTGGGAATGCCTGAGGATTTCCCCCAAGAAGAGCGAGAGTGTCGCCAAGGAAAGGGAGGTCTGGACCGCCCACCTCAACATGCTGCCGCCACGACCCTGACCAGGACAAGCGGACTTGAGAAACGAAATGCATAATCAGTTGTTAAAAATGGGATGGCTTTTTAACCAGGTAGGTACAATTAAAGAGACATCCCCCGTATAGCCTTGAACCCTATTGGGACAAGTGCTGTAAAAAGGCCAAACGACCGCTGCCTCTCACCTGAGCCGAGTTGCCCCTTTTATACTTCCCGGCGGTCACACTGCCACCCCTCATTGGCTGGTTGCCCCCACCTGTGGAGGGCTCTTTACACACCTCCCACCTGTTGCGCAAGTACTGGCTCCTTTTGCATGGGCTATGAGACCCAAAAAATCCACACAAACCACAGGAAGAACACGCAAACTCCAAATATAGAGCGTTCACGGTAGGGGACAACCCACAACCTGGATACCAGGCGATGTGGTTAACACCTCGCCAACCCTCAATCATTTCGCAGGGCCAACCATACAAAGACCGCAACTGAAACGCGTGAGAACGATTATTCTGGCAGTTTATTAGACGTACATTAAAACACATGTACTACGTTTGCCTGTGACGCGTCAATAGCTCGCAGCAAAAAAATAATGCTTGTCGCTTAACGGACCGCCCAAAGCCTCTTTATTAATGAATCACAGTGCACCTAAACACACAAACGTTTCTAACCTCACGAGAGCCGTCGTCTTGAATGTGTTATTCATTCTCGGCTACTGTACATCGTTCACGATCTACACATCATTGGCCTAAAAGTGAACATTTAAAATGACATCTGTACAAAAATAGACTTTATTTTTAGACGCGAGCGTTACCAAATGCTGTTTCCTGATCGTCGTCTTAATACCGAGACCATCATTTATACACCTTTTATTCTTAAAAATTGCATCTCTCGTTCCGTCGTTGAAACTCAAACACATTGTTTTAGACGCATTTCCCCCCCCCCCCCCCTCGATGGCTTTTACTGAGGTAAAAGTTGAACACAAGCTGCGAAAGGTAATTTAAAAACAAAACCACTTAACATGTCTTGACACCTTCGAGAGCGATTGATTTTTTTTTACTTCTAGGTGACATTTAAGTAAAATAAAAACCAACGAAAACTTACCAGTAAAAATCTGATTGGCGTTCACAAACTCTAAGAACGACGTTTTAAGTTGTCAACAATCTCACCTCATCACATTAATGAGAGCCCGGACTATTCCCATGAACAGCCGAGTAAAACGAGCAGTGAGCAGCGACAATTCAATGCGTAAAAACCTTCCCACCTCCACACTTTATGAAAATCTGAGACACAGGTACCCTGTTCCTTGCAAGAGTTGATTTTAGTTCCCACACCCCCTTCCACATTTTGACTCTTGACACTAGCAAAAAAAAATGGTCGGCCATTCCGGATTGTCTTCTCTTGATTTCTTAGGCACTGGAACCCACGCGGAATGAGTCGTACAAGCCGCAGGGGATGTTCACAACCCGGCAAAAGCCTCTTCGTCGTGGCTTATTCACATTTTTATCACGCAAAAACAAAAGCACACGCGCATGCACAACCCTCCGAATACAAATCTCGCAAAACATGTACCAAAACGCTGTGTATCGCAAGCTGTCCGGCACAAGTTTTGAACGCTGTTCAAAATTAAAACTTAAAGTGGACTTTGAGGCACACTCTCTAGTTCGTGTCGCGCGGCGATGAAGCGGGTCACGCGTAACGTGGCAGTGGCGTCACTTTGGCGCTACGCACGACCCACGCGCTCGAACGGTCCCTTCATGTCACATTTCAAAGAGCTGAACTCACGTCAGATAGCCTGGGAAACACAGCCGCTTGGCTCTGCTCGGTCGCCTCTTCGTAGCTGTGAAAACACGAGCAAGGGGAGGCGCCCCTCCTCTTACCGCTGAAACACGAAGCTTGGCTCCTGCCGCTGGCTACGGCCGCCGGTAATTTCTGTCGGGAATGGTACCTGCTGTCGAGCAGCGGATGACCGGGGCTACGTGGGCGTGATCACGTGCGACATCATCGGCTGTGTTGGTGTTGGGGTTACCAAGCACGTACGGCTCCCAGGGTTAGATCGAGCGTGACCGACAAAGCGGAATAAAATCACCACGCCACCAACCTCACTCGGACACCAACCTGGGTCACACATTGCTCCCGCCAGGGCTGCAATTCTCAAACACGGATAACAAATCTTACACGGCTCTTGCACGGTTAAATAAATGAGTGTCTAAGCAGATGGCTCTTATTAATGTGCTGGGGAGCTTTTGCCATGTTACGAGACGTCCACAGGCGTTCACGGCAAACATATTCCAGCTTTTTTTTTATCTTAATGCATATTTTGTGCTCAAACACACACACACGCGTATAACAATTATAATACTAATGCATGATGTGTATGTGCGTAACTGCACGGGTTCTCCCCCCAGTTTGGTGTCTCTAGCGTACTAATGATAGGGATTTAATTATTTATATAAGTATTACATCATCCCATTATCAGTGATGGCTTTTAAATTCCTGTAAATGTGCATTACAAATGTGTATTAACCGACAGAGATAATTTAAAACGTTATATCAATAATCTGCATTATCCCATAGTTCATGCAACAATCACCAAAACAATTGGTGTGCAAAACCTCGACGTCGTTTCCGCGACCACAGGCAGTAACACAATTTGTACAGGTCCGTCTTTTAACAACAACAACAAATAGATGCTTACGCTTTAAAGTTTTTTTTTTCCTTCAAGAGAAAGTGCCTTGCCGAGGAAACCCCACAGAGTATACGCAATGAGCCCGTTGATTCCTGGCCATCCTCTGTCGAGGGAATTCTCCCTGGCTTCCCCGGCATCTTTCCCCACGCGCGGGGAGGAAACTGCTCCTCAAAACGAGGAGTCGACCGAACCGAACTTCCCAACGCAGGACCCCTCCCTCTAGACCAGAGTCTTGGCACTCAAGAGTGTGGCTTTCCTGGATAAATAACTGATGATTATAATTTATTAAAGTTCTATATATAAATTGCATGTTTTATTAATTCTTCTAAAAGCTTTTCATGTTGCAATGATGGAACTATGATCTAAAAATCCTAACAATGTAATTTTCTTTCTCTGGAAAAAAAAATATTCGATTTTTCCAAACACCACAACTTGGCAATGTTACATTCTAATATATTGAATTTGAAAATGCCAACCATCTCAAATTTCAGTTTAAGCATTCACCGCCTAAATCTGTTCCTGCAAGTCATCATGACGGAGCCCCAACAAACGAATACAACCGTCCCTAACCACGTGGGCAACTCGCAATGTGCCGTGTCATGGGCTGTTTGGCCTGAGTTTGAAGCGTCGTTAATAACAAAAACAGTAACAAGTTAAAGTTACAACATTTTAAAGGACATCAGCGCAAGCGTGGCTCCTGTTTGTTTGATTACAGCTGCGTCGCTCAATGCACTGCATGCTGGGAGTCTGCCACAACACGCGCTTGCATGCTGGGAGCAAGCGATGTTTCAGCAATGGAACTCGGTGCACGTTCGGGAATTTCATGACGCCAATTCTCCTCTCCTTGCGGCCAGTTCGGCCAGGTCGCAGAGGCCAGTCGGCAGCTGTCTATTTTAAGGACCAACATTTACGCACTCCATCAGTGCTTTGCGATGAATGAGGTTGTCTTCTTTTTCCGTACTCAGGAGAATTTTATCAATAAGATGAATTTGTCTTGTTTGCACTTAACGCTGTTAAACCCACGTCCACGCACTGGAGAACTCTCGTGAAATCCGGCTGAAGAGGATGTGGCCTCGCGGCTGGGTAGGATCGGCCCCGTACAGATCTCGGCTGTCGTGTGGCTCTGCCGTCTGTGGCGGAGTTCCAGAACAAATGGAAATGCTTTTGCAGTCTGCGCCTTGATGCAAATTGCACATCTGTGATAAAATTAGTTTTTTAAAAATTGCAAATACATTCCAATTTTAAATATGCAGAGAAATTAGTGGCAAACTAATTAAAGTTTCTTCCGAAACAATGCTCGCCAAAAAAATATCACTGCTTTCACAACCACAAGGCGATTTTAATCCTGTATGCGGCTCGATGCCACGTCTCGAACGTCTTCTCAACTTGCGCGCACGAGTCTTGAAGCAGCTGTTCGGCCGACGGTTTAAGTTGTAATTTTTAAAATGTTTTAACAGATCTTCCCCAGTCTCGTTTGCAAAGCAGAAGGTAAGCGCCCCTCGAAGCTTGAAACGTACTGAGAGGATCTGCGTTTGGCAGCGGTAGAGGCTATAAAACACAAGGCCGCGATAATTTTTGACGGCCTCAAATTCACAACAAAATCAAAGGGTTTTCTTTTTACGAAGGAAATACATTTTCAGCTGCAGCTCGTCGTGTGAAAAGCTTCACGCTGCCACGTGTGGAACCCGCTCCCTCCTCCGCCTCCGAGCCGAGCGGGAGTTTTTGCATAAAGTCACACGAGATTTTTCTCCGGACGTGCGATTTTGATAAAATGTTTGAAAACTCCGAAGAGGCATCATCTCCGACCCCCCCCAACCACCCATCCACCCCGCCCACCCGCCTGACACCCCCCCCCCCAATCTCAAGTCATCTGATGGGGGGCCTCCAGCATTTCCATGAGGAAGGTGTCTATGGGAGTGTCGCCGATGAGCTTGAAGAAAAACAAGTGTTCCAGGCACTTGAGGCCGATGGAACGCAGGGCGGGCAGGCGCAGCAACAGCTTCGCGAACCTGGACAAGCCAGAAGGGGAACAACAATTGCACAGCATCACAACCGTTGACACTTTACTACTTCACTATTTTTTTCATCTTACCAGGTAAGGCCCCCACTGAGCTATGTAGCTCTTTTCTTTCAGCAGCCACTTGGCTATCACAAATGATGGCTGGACTAGGTGGATTATCATCGCGTGGACATTTATAGCTGACAATGCTCTAAACGCGTGATGTTGATTCTAAATGTGGAGGTGAAAAACCGGAGGACCCATAGGAAAATCCACGCGACCACGGGGAAAGAGACACGCAAACTCCAAGTATACAGGCGTTGGGTCAGGATCGAACCCACGACCTCCTGCATACCAGGCGAGGGAGATAACATCTCGCCACCGTGGCGCAGCAATATCAACAAGGACAACAGATTGAATGGAGACTGTGACAGAGATATTTCTCTAGGATTTAAAGGTCCTTCGGTTCAATCCTAACAGCAACACATTCCTCACTACACCCTCGTGTCAGATACAAGAACTTCCAGCGGCTAACTCATCATCATCACCACCACCATCAGCCTTGATCGATCTATTGCTAGACAACGCCATTCCTCGCAGCCTTGCAATCCACCCCCCCCCCCCTCTCATCTCATTGCTTCACCTCCACGGTCGCCGTTTCACTCCCGGTCTCGTCCATCGGCCATCATCCCTGACTGCCCTAACCCAATTTGCTTGAGCAGTCAATGCAAAGTGCCAGGTTGGCAAGATGTTAACTACCTCGCCTGGTATACAGGAGGTCGTGGGTTCCATCCCGACCCTGAAGCTTGTATATTTGGAGTGTGCATGTCTCCCGATGGTCGCGTGGATTTTTCTCCGGGTCCTCCGGTTTTTCCCTCCACATTTAGAAACATGCGTTTAGATTATTTGGCCGCGATAAATTTCCACTTGATACGCCACTTCGTTGAGCTATCATTTGTGGCCAGGTCGGTTCTGAAAATGAGCTACATAGCTCGGTGGGCCTTACCTGGTAGAATAAAAAAAAATGTTTGTTGTATAATTCTGTTTCAGTGCAAATCCCAGCACATAATCCGCATGCCCGATTAGCACAGCGGGCTACGTACGGCACAAACGACGTTCAACATACATGTCAGCTTTCGTTCAGACTGCGTGGCCGTGTCTGGACTGTTGCTGGGCTGTTGCTGGACCCGGGGCGAAGGCCGCTTAAGTCCAGGCGGCTCAAGGTGCGAGTGGCCGCCGTCTTCCCCACTCACCTGCCGGGCTGATCGGGGTATTTCTGCTTGCAGTAGGATTCCAGCGATGCGTAGACTTTCTCCCGGAGTGCCTCCACGTCACTGGGACTCGACAGCCCCTTTGCGTCTGTGTCAGCAGAGTCCCAGCGCACATCAAAGACAAAGATCCCCCCCACCCCACCGTTTAGCCGTAACAGACTGTTGGGGGAAGTGCTGTTTGTGGGCACCTATGAAGGCCGGAACGGAGCACGAGCGGGTGGCCAGCAACACGACCTTTATCTCCCCGGTTTTTACACATCGCACTCGGTACTCGTTTGAGGCCGAGTCGACCTAGGGGAGGCCCAGGACTGGTTCAGATAATCGTCACTGGGTGTTGGCCGTGAGCGGGAATCGAACTCGGGTCGCCGTGTTCGTAGCGCAGCATAGCGCTGACCGCTACACTACCGCTCCCCGCACGCACTTGCACTGTCAGCAGTAACACCAGTCGCACCTCTGATTAGCACGGTTGGCTATGTATGGTACGAAAGAAGTTCAACATACAGACATAGAGCGTAAGAGCAACAACAATGACAGCAGCAGCTGCAGTAAGAGTAGCAGCAGGAGCAGCGGTGATGGTGGTGGCGGCAGTGGCGGTGGTGGTAGTCACTGTAAGATGTTTTTCTTGTTCGTGTTTTTGTTTTTTTGTTTGTTGTGGTTGCACCCGATTCAAGAGCGGAATGGCTCACAGGACTATACCAAAATAAATAAACTGAAACTGAAGGTGGTGGGGGTGGTGGGCCTGGTGGCGGTGGTGGCGGAGGTGGTGGCGGTGGTGGCGGAGGCGGTAGTGGCGGTGGTGGCGGAGGTGGTGGAGGTGGTGGCGGTGGTGTCGGTGGCGGTGGCGGTAGTGGCGGTAGTGGCGGTGGTGGAGGTGGTGGAGGTGGTGGAGGTGGTGGCGGTGGTGGCAGAGGTGGTGGAGGTGGTGGCGGTGGTGGCGGTGGCGGTGGCGGTAGTGGCGGTGGTGGTGCCGCACCGGGGTTGAAGAGGACGATGGCACGCAGGCAGCCCAGCTCGGCCTTGTCCATGTTCATGTCACGCATCTTGGAGACGAGCTCCGTGAGGACCCTAAAAGCAGACGCCGCGCCTCTCAGCTCCTAGCGCCCACCACCCTCACACCCTCACGTCCTGTCACCCTGACGTCCTCACGTCCTGCCACCCTCACGTCCTGTCACCCTCACGTCCTGCCACCCTCACGTCCTCACGTCCGCCACCCTCACGTCCTGCCACCCTCACGTCCTGCCACCCTCACACCCTCACGTCCGCCACCATCACGTCCTGCCACTCCGTTATCGAGCAGCAGCGAAGTGGTCCGCGTGACCCCGAGCCGTCCGGCGTGGCTGTGACCGATCACATCCTCCGCCGAGTGGCGAGTCGCCGCTACCCAGGGCCACGGCGCAATTCGTGGCTAAATTAATCCGCTAGGCTTGCGCGCTTTGTTGACTTCACGAGCGAGAGCTTTGTCCCCCCCCCCCCGAGCGGAGGCTCGCACTGAGCCACGCAGCTCCTCGTCAAGCGCCACTCGGCCAGGAGACAGCGGCAGTGGCGGCAGCCACGGGCTGCTACGAGCATCGTCCACGTGCCTTTACACGCGGTTCATTCTAACGATACCATCTCATGCGGGGCTTTTACCGGTTGATAAGTTCACTAAGTGCTTGTAAGTTATTAATTCCCAAATGCTCCTCCCCTCCCTTATTCCATTTCCCCCCTTCTCGCCGCTCCCTCTACTCCCTTACTCAAGTTCTTCCTCTCTCACCGTCCCCTCCCACTCAGTGGGGCAGCAGCGAGCTAAATATCCCCCTCTTCTAAACCCAGGATCACGGCGTTCGGGACTTGTGTCCACGGAGTTTCTGTACCCCCCCCCCCCGCCCCGCTCCCTGCACCGCGGTTCATGCTCTGCACCGGGCTCTCGTTGAAATACAATTATTAAAAATCAAATATTATCTCAAACATGATGAAAAAAATAAGAATAGGTTTTACCCTTTCTCGCAATAAAACAGGTGTTCAGATGTTCAAACACCAAGTTTGAACATCAAGTTACCCTGTGCAAGGCATCAAGGCTGCATTAACTGTTTGCATGTTTTGACGCACTTTTCGGATATTTGGCTGCTATAATTTTCCGCGTGATAAGCCACTTTGTTGAGTTATCATTTGTGATGGCCAGGTCGCTTCTGAAAAATAACTACATAGCTCAGTGGGCCTTACCTGCTAGAATAAAAAAATGCGAGTTAACATATTCAGTTGATTAATTTGTGTACGTAACTTCCTCTGTATAACACTTAGTAGCTTAGTAGCTTTCATGACCAATCTCATCCATAAGAGGTTTTTAGGTTTAGATCACTTAAATATAAATGTGTTATTAAACCCGCCACCACCCAACACAGCCAATTAGTAAGGTTTGACACATAAACAAAACATGCAAATTCGTTACTAGTTCAGCAAACCAGTGTGTGTTAGAGAGTAAACCAACAACATTTACAATTCGAGTACCATGATATTTTGCCAGTAACTACAGCGCGCTTCATCACGATGATCGTCATTATCAACAACCGCTGTGCTGAAATAACGACTAATCGGCACGTTTTGTTTACGTGACAAACCTCACCAATTGGCCGTGTCGGGCGGTGGTGGTAGCAGGTTTAACGACGACACTACATTTAAATGTACGCGATCTATTCCAAAACTAAAAAAAACCTCTCACATTAACTTCCTCCTGTGCGTCCCCGTCACGGTCGAACCGGGCTATGGGCGGCCGGTGACGCCGGTGACGCCAGTGACGCCGGTGACCGAGGGGGCTTCGTAGCTCTCGCGGGCGGTCTCTGCCGGCGTGAAGCCCGAACGTCCGCGACCGACGCCCGCTCTCACGGCGCCCGCAAAGCCAAAATCAACGCGCGCGCGATGTCTACGGGAACCGACTGCTCTCCCAACGAGGTCCCTGGGATCTATCGCATCGCCTCTCTCCCCGAGGAACCACGAGGTCCAGGTTCCGTTCCCGGGGTGACCACCGGGGCTTTTGCTCCCAGGCTTGGGGAGCATCGCTTTGTGCCTTTGAGTAGGAAGCCAGTCGGAGACGCTGGTGCTCTCTATGTCGCTCTCTAAGCTGGACTTTCTTTCCGTTTACCCCGCAGGTTCTGTTTATTTCCTGATTTACATACACATTGGGATCTACGGATGAAATGCACCAAATGTAAATTATTATTATTAAATGCACATCATCATAATCGTCCTCGTCACTCTCATCAACAAGCGTGCCGCATCATATTGAATTCGGCAGAAATGAACGCACTCAAAATGTCTGTGCGAATAAATCAAAATTGTCCGCTCTGGAGAGAGGTGTGGGAGGAACGCGGAGAGAGAATCTGGCGGAGAGAGAATCTGGCTGAGAGAGAATCTGGCGGAGAGAGAATCTGGCGGAGAGAGAATCTGGCGGAGAGAGAATCTGGCGGCACGGGAGCGCGGCCGCTCGGGCGCCCACCGGTCGAAGATGGAGCCGACGCCGGCGCTGTGGGCACTGCTGCGGTGGACGTGCAGCCCCGTGGCCAGCAAGATCCCGTCGGAGACGCCGATCGAGCGGTGCGAGAACGACGCGATGAGCAGCTCGTTCCACCCTACGCAGGCACGCGCACATTATACACACACGCACAAATAGAAAGATCCCCCGTATAGCCCTAACAGACTGTCGGGGAAAGTGCTGTTCGCGAGCATCTATGAAGGCCGGCATGGCACAGGAGGGGGTGGGTGGCCAGCACCACGCCCGGCCGCCTTTGTCTCTCTAGTAGAAATGTTAACACACCGCACCAGCTATTCATTTGAGGCCAAGTCGACCTAGGGGAGGAAGTCCAGGACCGGTTAAAATAATTGTCACTGGTGTTGGCCGTGAGCAGGAATCGAACTCGGGTAGTCGAGTTTCGTAGCACAGAGCACTAACCGCTACACTACCACTCTACACATACACCCACACATTACACATACGTTACATACACATTATACACACACACACATTACACACCTACACGCATACGCACACTGAACAATGCACACACGCACGCCTCGGCTACCAAGCGTACTCTTGGCCTCACGTTAACCAGCGGCACGTGGTCAAGCGTGCAAACTCGGGACCAGTTTCAGCCTCGCGGGGCTCATCAGCAGGGACTCTCGTCTCGTATCTTCAAGATCTCTTGGCTGTCCATCGAAAAGGATGATGATGATGGCGATTGCTCCTCGTGTGGATGGGGGGTAGGGATGGGTCGGCGCTTTTGGCGCTCTGCTGCTGCAGCTGGGACACGTGCGGTGTGTGTCGGGTGTCGGATGGCGTTATCCCAGCTGCGCGTTGGTGTCTCTGGGCGTGTCTCTCGCATCCCTTCGTCGAGACGGCGTCTTCCGGGTGCTGAGCCCCTCTGGCGCAGGTGGACCGCCGCCAGGTGGACCTGTCCAACGCCCGAGGTTCCAGGCTGGAGGGCATCGATGTTGCAGCGGGTCCTTGCTGTGGTCCTTGAAGTGCTTTTGACGTCCCCCAGCGGGGCGTTTGGCTGCGCTGAGTTGGCCGTGGGGAACTCGTCGGGGGAGGCGGTGATCGGGCCGTGCGGACCACCTGGCCAAGCCAGCGGAGGCGTCGCTTCGCCGCACTCGCCTCAGTGCAGAACGACTTGGTGCGGAAGGCTTCCAGGATGTCGATGTGCCGCCTATATGGGGCCCACGTCTCCGAGCCGTAGAGCCAGGGTGGAGACACAAACGGCGTTGTAAAACCGCCACCTTGGTGTGGGTCTTGAGGTAACGGTTCTCGAAGACCCTGGCCCGTCCAAAGTAAGCGGAGGCTCCGTGTTGACGCAAGCGTGGATTTCGTCGTCAAGTCAAGCGAGCGCGTAGGGGAGAGGGCAGAAACGAGGCAGGTGAAATGGGGAACCAATTTGATGTGAAGACCGCCGATGTTGAAGAGAGGGAGTGAGGTGGACGCGGATGAGGAGTTGAGCAATTATTTCTGTCTTCCGGGTAAAATGCGAGAGTCCTTGCCTACAACATTTGGCAGTTCACCAGCACTTAACAATTCAAGTGAGCCTGACTCTGCTGATGAGACAGTGCGTGTCGAAACCGGACAGACGACGCTCGGACCGCTCGTGGTCAGCCCCTTTGGCCGCCGATAACCGTGACTGCCGAGGCGGGCGGGGAGGGAGGAAGGAAGCCGCCATGGTGGTGGAGGTGGTGGTGGGGGTGGTGGTGGGGGGTTACCGGCTCTCAGCAGGATCACTTGGTCGTCGAGGGGGAGCTCGGAGAAGTGCGGCACCCTCTTGGACCACTCGACGAGCGTGAAGAGCTGCTTGTCGGCCGCTTGGCAAATGTTCGTGACGGGGTCGTTCGGCTGCAAAAAACACGTCGCTGAACGGATTTAGAAATTGTCTATTTGTATATACAAAGATAAACAAAGATAAACAAAGATCCCCCGTGTAGCCTGTAACAGACTGTAGGGGCAAGTGCTGTTAGCGAGCACCTATGAAGGCCGACACGGCACACGAGGGGGTGGGTGGCCAGCACCACGCCCGACCGCCTTTGTCTCCCTAGTGGCGATGTTTACACACTGCACCAGGTACTCATTTGAAGCTGAGTCGACCTAGGGAAGGCCCGGGACCGGTTCAAATAATCGTCACTGGTGTTGGCCGTGAGCGGGAATCGAACCTGGGTCGCCAGGTTCATAGCGCAGCGCGCTAACCGCTACACTATCGCTCCCCATATATACACACACACACACGCGCACACACTCACACACACTCACTCACACTCACGCACAGACACACACACTCCCACCCCCGAATTAGTACCGATTGTACTGTCCAGTGTCCGGTCACGGGACGAAGTTTCTCCATTCGAATATCGAACTCACTCGCTCGGTCAGGCTCACTCACACTCACTCGCACACTCACACTCACTCACTCTCACTCACACGTTCAGTCACTTGCGCACTCACCCTCATTCACTCACACGCTCACTCACTCACTCACACTCATTCACTCACACGCTCACACACTCACTCACACGCTCACACACTCACTCACACTCACTCACACGCTCACACTCACTCACACGGTCACATTCACTCACTCACACGCTCACTCACTCACACGCTCACTCACTCACTCACACTCTCACACAAACCCTCACATTCACTCACACTCACTCACTCACACTCACTCACATGCAAACTCACAACAACAACAGACGCCATTCGCCACTAAGTCGCGGTGATGTCACCATGGTGCCTGTGCCAGGCTATGTGCACTTTGAGGCCATGTGAAGTGTTCAAGGTCGATCTTGACACCACTGGTAGCAGTCTTTGGCAAGTCCCCTCAGCGCCACATCCTCCTGTAACGCATCAGTCCATCTCCTTTCCAGCCTGTGTCGTGCCCATTTAGCCCCCTCTATCTGGCCAAACAGAAGCTAATTAAACATGTGGTGGCTTGGCAAGCAGGCTACATGACCCAGCCAACGCAGCCTTGCCTGCCAGAGGAGCTCACTGATGAGAATGTGTCCAGATTTTTCAAGGATTTGTGAGCTCCTTACACAATCCAGCCTGGTTAAAATCTGGATGGATCGGAGGCAGGCCAGCCTGAATGTTCCTAACTGGTGGAGATGTTCCATTAGAGGGGTCCACGTTTCACAAGCGTAGAGAAGGGAGGGAATGACTGTGGCCGAGAAGACCCGAAGCTTCGTGTGGAGCGACAAACCAGGTAGCTTCCATACAGCATTACGAGGCCAGCCAATGAAAAGATATTGCCGCTCGACTGATTCGGAGTGAGACCTTTGCTATCAAACCGGGGCTGGTCATGAGCACACTGCCCAGGTATTGAAAACTCTCCCCTCTCTCCACAACTGCTCCATCACCAATGGGGAATTGAGGGGGTGGAGTGTTTTATGGCACAAAATACCCAAGCAGGTGCTTAATTTTGGTGGGGCTGATGGTAAGACCCCGCCTCTTAGCGGCACGCTCCAGGTTTAGCAGCAGTGCCCCCAACTCCTCCTCAGAGTGAGCAGCAATCACCAGGTCATCAGCATACATAGCATGGTTGACCAATAGGCAGCAATCCCGCAACCGCACCCGGGCATCGATCAGACTCCCACTGTATGTGTACCAGATATAAATTTCTCCGGTACAACCATGAAAAGCTTCTCAGACTACGTGGTCAAAGATTATGTTAAATAATGTGGGAGCCAGAGGATATCCCTGTTGCACCCTAAGGTGAACTCCTGGCCACGAAGCTTTACCCGGGCCTTTACCCGGGCACGAAGAACAACCCAGAGCCATGGCCTATTGAAGGTCGATAAAGCAGAGACGTAAGTCCCGTTGGCATTCCCCAAGACTTCTGCTGTAGCAGACGGACAGATAATATGGCGTCCATGCACGACCACCCTTTCCTGAAACCACTTTGTGGCTCAGCAAGCTTCTCCTCGGCATGCCTGGCATGGCGATGCTGAACAATCCTTGCCAGGACCTCTCACACGCACGCACAAACGGGCGCACGGACGCACCGAGGTGCCGGGGGAGGCGGTGCGGCTCCTGCCGCCGCCGCCGCCGCCGCCGGGCTCACAGCCGCCCTCAGTCTTGGGCTCCACGGCGAGCTCGGCCTCGAGGATCTTCTCGACCGGCATGTCCTCGAGCGGGACGCCGCTCTCGCTGTCGCAGTCCTCGCGCTCCCTCCCCCGCTGGCGCTCCTCCTGCACGGCTGCGGTGGCGGCGGCGGCGGCGGCGGTGGGGCACGGAGAGGGGAAAGGGGGGCACGCTGTAGCCGCCGTCATGTGGACACGCCGGCCGTACGCGTGTCTGTGCGTCAGGTCGCTTTGTGTGCGCGATTGCACGTGTGGTGTGTGTGTGTGTACGTGTGTCTGTGTGTGTGTACGTGTGTCTGTGTGTGTACGTGTGGTGTGTGTGTGTACGTGTGTCTGTGTGTGTACGTGTGTCTGTGTGTGTGTTTGTGTGTGTGTACGTGTGTCTGTGTGTGTGTACGTGTGGTGTGTGTGTACGTGGGTCTGTGTGTGTGTACGTGGGTCTGTGTGTGTGTACGTGGGTCTGTGTGTGTGTTTGTGTGTGTGTGTGTACGTGTGGTGTGTGTGTACGTGGGTCTGTGTGTGTGTACGTGTGTCTGTGTACGTGTTTGCGTGTGTCTGTATATGGGGAGCAGTAGTGTAGAACCTGGCGACCCGCTCACGGCCAACACCAGTGATGATTATCTGAACCGATCCTGGGTCTCCCCTAGGTCGACTCAGCCTCAACTGAGTACCTGGTGCGGTGTGCAAATACCTCGCCACTGGGGAGACAAAGGCGGTCGGGCGTGGTGCTAACAGCACTTGCCCTAACTGTCTGTCAAAGGCTATATGGGGGATCTTTGGCGGGGCGGGTGTGAACCGGCGTGCAGGGGGAATCGTGAGGGACTGGAGGTGGTTGATGTGGGATGGGAGCGATGGTGACTTTTGTACGGTTTCAAGCAGTGGGAGGCAATTGTTATTATTATCACTACGACGATTACTTCGCTCGTTCACAAGCGAAAGCTTCACCGAGTCGCGAGATTCATCGTGAGGAGGGTGCTGCCAAGTATCATGGAGTCGTGCACGCCGTCGAGCCGGCCAATCACGCCCAGGGAGCTCCTCGGGGCCTCGAGGTGCCGCACGCGGCGAGGATCAGCGCCGTTTGATTCCGGGAACGAGGTTGGGCGCGTCGGGGGCGTTCGACGCGTTCGGCTACCGATGGGAGACCTCCCGTAGGGTCCAGATCGCCTCGTCCCCGCCGCCGCGACGTCATCTCAGCTCGCGACTCGGATCACAGACCCACGACGAGTCACATCACAGGCCCACGACGAGTCGGTTCACAGACCCACGACGAGTCGGATCACAGACCCACGAGGAGTCAGATCACAGACCCACGATGAGTCGGTTCACAGACCCACGACGAGTCGGATCACAGACCCACGACGAGTCGGATCACAGACCCACGAGGAGTCAGATCACAGACCCACGAAGAGTCGGTTCACAGACCCACGACGAGTCGGTTCACAGACCCACGACGAGTCGGTTCACAGACCCACGAGGAGTCAGATCACAGACCCACGATGAGTCGGTTCACAGACCCACGACGAGTCGGATCACAGACCCACGACGAGTCGGTTCACAGACCCACGACGAGTCGGATCACAGACCCACGAGGAGTCAGATCACAGACCCACGATGAGTCGGTTCACAGACCCACGACGAGTCGGATCACAGACCCACGACGAGTCGGTTCACAGACCCACGACGAGTCGGATCACAGACCCACCAGGAGTCAGATCACAGACCCACGATGAGTCGGTTCACAGACCCACGACGAGTCGGATCACAGACCCATGACGAGTCGGTTCACAGACCCACGACGAGTTACATCACAGACCCACGAGGAGTCAGATCACAGACCCACGATGAGTCGGTTCACAGACCCATGACGAGTCGGATCACAGACCCACGACGAGTCACATCACAGGCCCACGACGAGTCGGATCACAGACCCACGACGAGTCGGATCACAGACCCACGACGAGTCACATCACAGGCCCACGACGAGTCGGATCACAGACCCACGACGAGTCGGATCACAGACCCACGACGAGTCGGTTCACAGACCCACGACGAGTCGGATCACAGACCCACGACGAGTCACATCACAGGCCCACGACGAGTCGGATCACAGACCCACGACGAGTCACATCACAGACCCACGACGAGTCACATCACAGATCCACGACGAGTCGGTTCACAGACCCACGACGAGTCACATCACAGACCCACGACGAGTCGGTTCACAGACCCACGACGAGTCACATCACAGGCCCACGACGAGTCGGATCACAGACCCACGACGAGTCGGTTCACAGACCCACGATGAGTCGGATCACAGACCCACGACGAGTCGGTTCACAGACCCACGATGAGTCGGATCACAGACCCACGACGAGTCACATCACAGACCCACGACGAGTCGGTTCACAGACCCACGACGAGTCAGATCACAGACCCACGACAACTCAGATCACAGACCCACGACGAGTCGGTTCACAGACCCACGATGAGTCACATCACAGACCCACGGTGAGTCACATCACAGACCCACGGTGAGTCACATCACAGACCCACGGTGAGTCACATCACAGACCCATGACGAGTCAGATCACAGACCCACGACGAGTCGGTTCACAGACCCACGACGAGTCGGATCACAGACCCATGACGAGTCGGTTCACAGACCCACGACGAGTCACATCACAGGCCCACGACGAGTCGGATCACAGACCCACGACGAGTCGGATCACAGACCCACGACGAGTCGGTTCACAGACCCACGACGAGTCGGATCACAGACCCACGACGAGTCACATCACAGGCCCACGACGAGTCGGATCACAGACCCACGACGAGTCACATCACAGACCCACGACGAGTCACATCACAGATCCACGACGAGTCAGTTCACAGACCCACGACGAGTCGGTTCACAAACCCACGACGAGTCGGTTCACAGACCCACGACGAGTCACATCACAGGCCCACGACGAGTCGGATCACAGACCCACGACGAGTCGGTTCACAGACCCACGAAGAGTCGGATCACAGACCCACGACGAGTCGGTTCACAGACCCACGATGAGTCGGATCACAGACCCACGACGAGTCATATCACAGACCCACGACGAGTCGGTTCACAGACCCACGACGAGTCAGATCACAGACCCACGACAACTCAGATCACAGACCCCCGACGAGTCGGTTCACAGACCCACGATGAGTCACATCACAGACCCACGGTGAGTCACATCACAGACCCACGGTGAGTCACATCACAGACCCACGGTGAGTCACATCACAGACCCATGACGAGTCAGATCACAGACCCACGACGAGTCGGATCACAGACCCACGACGAGTCGGATCACAGACCCACGACGAGTCGGATCACAGACCCACGGTGAGTCACATCACAGACCCACGGTGAGTCACATCACAGACCCACGACGAGTCAGATCACAGACCCACGACGAGTCGGATCACAGACCCACGACGAGTCGGATCACAGACCCACGACGAGTCGGATCACAGACCCACGACGAGTCACATCACAGACCCACGACGAGTCACATCACAGACCCACGGTGAGTCACATCACAGACCCACGACGAGTCGGATCACAGACCCACGACAAGTCACATCACAGACCCACGGTGAGTCACATCACAGACCCACGACGAGTCACATCACAGACCCACGACAACTCAGATCACAGGCCCACGACAAGTCACATCACAGACCCACGGTGAGTCACATCACAGACCCACGATGGCTCTGCCCTGTGCATCGCGTGCCCGGTTACCCAGCCCGCGGCGGCGTTCTAAGCGAGCGCCGGTGGGACACGATCGACGGCCACGAGCGGAAACGGACGATAATCTTCGACGACGCGCGATGCCCGGATTGTTTTGGCGACAGGCAGATTAACACTCTCATTGTGTCTTTGGTGGGGGGGGGAGGTGCATCTCCCGTTAACCAAAAGAGGGGCACCGGTCTTCCAAAAGGCCCACACTGGCAATGTCAAGCTTTCATCACCCCACACTGGCAAGGTGCCAGATGCTGTAGGCGTGGCGCTGCAAGGGTCAGGAGGTGGCAGTGTTGTGTCGTGCCACCCCTCGTACGAGTTGGGTTATCCCTGGGCTCTCTCAGCCTGACGGATTCTCAGTGGCTCCTCCTCACTTAGGGCTGAGTCAACCTAGGAGAGACTCATTACCGGATCCTCAATTTAGGCTAAGTGGACGTAGCGGAGCTTCCACACGGGATCCTCGCGTCCCGTCGAGCACACTTGGGCGGTGGCCCGGCGCTCAAACCTGCGTTCCGGCAGTGGACTTCAGCCTGGGGCAAACTTCAACCTAGAGCAAACTTCATCTGGAGCGGACTTTAGCCTGGAGCGGACTCTAGCCTGGAGCGGACTCTAGCCTGGAGCGGACTCTAGCCTGGAGCGGACTCTAGCCTGGAGCAGACTCTAGCCTGGAGCGGACTCTAGCCTGGAGCAGACTCTAGCCTGGAGCGGACTCTAGCCTGGAGCGGACTCTAGCCTGGAGCAGACTCTAGTCTGGAGCAGACTCTAGCCTGGAGCAAACTCTAGCCTGGAGCAGACTCCAGCCTGGAGCGGACTCCAGCCTGGAGCAGACTCTAGCCTGGAGCAGGCCTCTAGCCTGGAGCGGACTCCAGCCTGGAGCGGACTCCAGCCGGCGGGCGCACCGCGCTCACCTTCACGCTTCATGCCGGTGTTGAGGCACTTCTGGTAGCGGCAGTACTGGCAGCGGTTGCGCTGCCGCTTGTCCACGATGCAGCCCTTGGTGTCGCGACACGTGTAGGTGAGGTCCTTGCGCACCGTGCGCTTGAAGAAGCCCTTGCAGCCCTCGCAGCTGTACACGCCGTAGTGCTTGCCTGGTGCACGCACGCACGCACAGACACCCCACAATATAGGGGTTGTTTTGGGGTTAGATCGCGGAAATATATATTATGGATGACGTTGGTCGCAAAAGCCTACGTGTTAAAAAGACACCCCGCGTAGCCTCAACGGACTGTCGGGGCAAGAGCTGTTCGCGAGTAGCGCCTACGAAGGCCGGGTGGGTGGGTGGCCGGCACCGCACACGCCCGGCCGCCTTTGTCTCCCCAGCGGCGATGTTTACGCGTCGCACCGGGTACTCGTTTGAGGTCGAGTCGACCCACGGGAGGCCCGGGACCGGTTCAGATAATCGCTATCAACGGTGTCGTTGGTGGCCGTGAGCGTGAATAGGACTCGGGTCGCCGGGTTCGTGGCGCAGCGTAGCGCTCAGCAGCTGTGACGCTGAGAAACGCGGGGGCACAGACACGCACGCCGCACTCACGCGCGTATACGCAGAACATGCATAAAGACAGACAGAAACGAGAATAAAACATGCTTGCCGATACACAAGGGGAGACAAACACGAGGATATGGTAGAAATAGAAATAAAATCAGCCCTACGTGACACTCTGTGATTGCAAATCCAGAGTGGGAACGCAAACAAAGGAAACCAATTAACGTGGTGGTTGTAGTTTTTCTTTCCCCGTGGTGGCCACACGTCCATGAGAACGCTCAGCGCGGGCTGGGGAGCGTGGGGATCTGGGATGCGGCCACCGCCGATTGTTCACTGGACACGAGAGCACAGCTGGCTCGTCGGCAGCCACGGCCCACGCCCAGTGGAATCCCATTGAGCACACACACACACACAGAACATACACACACAGAACATACACACACAGAACATACACACACAGAACATACACACACACAGAACATACACACAGAACATACGCACACACAGAACATACACACACAGAACATACACACACAGAACATACACACACAGAACATACACACACACAGAACATACACACACACAGAACATACACAAACACACACACAACATACACACAGACCCACGTACACACACAGACACACGTACACACACACAGACACACGTACACACACAGACCCACGTATACACACACAGACACACGTACACACACACACCACACGTACACACACACAGACACACGTACACACACAGACCCACGTACACCCACACCACAGGTACACACACACAGACCCACGTACACACACACACCACACGTACACACACACCACACGTACACACACACACACACCACACGTACACACACAGACACACGTACACACAGAGAAACACACGTACACACACAGACACACGTACACACACAGACACACGTACACACACACAGACACACGTACACACACAGAACGTAAACAATCACACACAGAGAACATATACACACACAGAAAATACACACACACACAGAATGTAAACACATACACAGAGAACATACACACACACACAGAACATACACACACATAATGTAAACACACACACACAGAACACACACACGGAACATAAACACACACATAACACACATAGAACACACACACTGAACAAATATAAAGATCCCCCGTATAGCCTTAACAGACTGTTGGGGCAAGTGTTGTCAGCGAGCACCTATGAAGGCCGGCACGGCACACGAGGGGGTGGGTGGCCAGCACCACGACCTTTGTCTCCCTCGTAGTGATGTTTACACATCGCACCAGGTACTCATTTGATAATCGTCAACGGTATTGGCCGTGAACGGGATCGAACTCGGGTTGCCAGGATCGTAGCGCAGCGCGCTAACTGATGCACTACCGCTCCCCACACGCAGACACACACGGACACACACAGACACACACAGACACGCAGACACACACGGACACACACGGACACACACAGACACACACAGACACACACAGACACGCAGACACACACAGACACACACAGATACACAGACACACACAGACACACACAGACAACAACAACCGCCATTCGCCACTAAGTGGCGGTGACGTCACCACGACGCTTGTGCCAGGCTATGTGCACCCTGAGGCCACGTGAAGTGTCGAACGCCCGCTGGCAGGAGGTCACGGGGCAGACCCAGGTGCCACGGGTCGACTGACTGAGATGACTGGTTGATGCACCACCTGTGCCCCCTACTGTGCCAACCTGCTGTGCTTTAGCCACCCGGCGCTCCGCTCGCTGTTGTGAGCGTCGCTCCTCCGCCCTCCGTTGTTGTTGGAGGGCGACTGCCTCCAACTGCCCAGTAGCATCCTTCACGAGCCTCCTCCACAGAGGCCGATCTTGACACCGCTGGTACCAGTCATCGGCAAGTCCACTCACCTCCACGTCCTCCTGTACCACATCACTCCATCTCTTCTCTAGCCCGTGCCGCGCCCGCTTAGCCCCCTCAATCTGGCCAAACAAAAGCTGTTTCGGCATGCGGTGGCTGGGCATGCGGGCTACATGACCCAGCCATCGCAGCCTTGCCTGCCGGAGGAGCTCACCGATGGGACCTTGCCCAGATCTTTCAAGGATTTGTGAGCTCCTCACACAATCCAGTCTGGTTAAACCCAGGATGGATCGTAGGCAGGCCAGCCTAAATGTTTCTAACCGGCGAAGATGTTCCATTAGGGGGGTCCACGTTTCGCAAGCGTAGAGAAGGGAGGGAATGACCGTGGCCGAGAAGACCTGAAGCTTAGTGCGGAGCGACAGACCAGGTAGCTTCCACACAGCGTTACGCAACCGATGAAAAGATATTGCCGCTCGACTGATTCGGAGTGAGACCTCTGCTGTTAAACTGGAGCCAGTCATAAGCACACTGCCCAGGTATGGGAAACTCTCCACTCTCTCCACAACTGCCCCATCACCGATTGGGAGTTGTGGGGGTGGAGTGTCCGATGGTACAAAATACCCAGGCAGGTGCTTAGTTTTGGTGGGGCTGATGGTAAGGCCCCACCTCTTAGTGGCACGCTCCAGTCTCAGCAGCAGCGTCTCCAACTCCTCCTCTGACTGAGCAGCTATTACCAAGTCATCAGCATACATAACGTGGTTGAGCAATAGGGAGCCATCCCTTGACCGCACCCGGGCATCGATTAGCCTCCCATTATATCTGTACCATATGGAGATTCCCCCGGTACAGCTATTGAAGGCTTCACGAACTACGTGGTCAAAATAGATGTTAAATAATGTGGGAGCCAGAGGACATCCCTGTCGCACCCCAAGGTGTACAGGGAATGGCTCTGACTCCCGGCCACGTAGTTTTACCCGGGCCCGCTCACCATCATGAAGGTCCTTAATGATCGTGAGCAGAGGGTCAGGTACTCCAAAAGCACGAAGAACGACCCAGAGCCCAGGCCTACTGATGGTATCATAGGCCTTGACCAGGTCAATAAAGCAGAGATGTAGGTCTTGTTGGAATTCCCTACACCTCTGCTGTAGCAGACGGACAGAAAATATGGCATCTGTGCAGGACCGCCCTTTCCTGAAACCGCATTGGGGCTCCGCAAGCCTCTCCTCAGCGTGCCTGGCAAGGCGATGCTGAATAATCCTTGCCAGGACCTTTCCCGGCACACTGAGGAGTGAGATGCCCCTGTAGTTGTTACAGTCTGTGCGGTCCCCCTTCTTAAAAAGGGGGACCACCAGGGCATCCTTCCAATCCTGCGGAACCCGTCCAGTGGTCCAGACTGTTGTTATGATGTCATATAGGGCAGTCTGTGCACAAACGCCACCCTCCCTCAGCATTTTGCTTGGGAGTTCATCTCTGCCCGCTGCCTTTCCTGGTCACACAGACACACACGGACACACAGACACACACGGACACACACAGACACACACAGACAAAGACAACGATCCCCCATATAGCCTTAACAGACTGTAGGGGCAAGTGCTGTTAGCGAGCACTTATGAAGGCCGGAACGGTACATGAGGGGGTGGGTGGCCAGCACCACGCCCGACCGCCTTTGTCTCCCTAGTGGCAATGTTTACACACCGCACCAGGTACTCATTTGAGGCTGAGTCGACCTAGGGGAGGCCCAGGACCGGTTCAGATAATCGTCACTGGTGTTAGCCGTGAGCGGGAATCGAACCCGGGTCGCCAGGTTCATAGTGCAGTGTGCTAACCGCTACACTATCGCTCCCCCGACACACACGGACACACACAGACACACACAGACACGCACACACACACACAGACACACACAGACACACACAGACATGCACACACACACACACAGACACACACGGACACATACGGACACACACAGACATGCAGACACTCACGGACACACACGGACACACACAGACACACACGGACACACACGGACACACACGGACACACACAGACACACACAGACACACACAGACACACACAGATACGCAGACACACACGGACACACACAGACACACCGACAAGGAGGCTTCGAGCAGAGCCAGGCACGAGCAAGCGGACTGGGCGGCAGTGGCCACCGGCTGTGCAATGGGAGCGTCCGCCGGGCTCGCCGGGACGAGCCGCCGCGTTTACCGGAGGAGCGGTCGCCGCAGATGGCGCAGATGTGCTTGGGGAGGCAGAGCGGGTTGGGGAAGGGCAGCGGGGAGCCCAGGCGAATGTTCCCGTGCAGGCCCAGGGGCGGCTTCACGTCCTCCGAGCTGCTCACACTGCCCATGTTTAGGCTCGAGTTCATCTGCACGGGGGGGGGGAGGGGGGGCGGCGCATATTCGTCACCCGGCGCCTCTCTCCATCTCGGCCGTCCACCACTCGCGTTCACGAGCGTACACGCTGTGCACGAGCGTACACACTGTGCACGTGACCCTTAACGCCCGCTGTGAAGCGAGCTGAGCGTGGCATCACCGCGGCCAGCGCTCCCGCGGTAATAATCGGGGGGCGGCTGCCGCTGGGTTTCGCGAGAGAGAGGGAAGCCACGGACGACCACCGGTTGGCGGCTTTGACCCGGACGCAGCCGGGGCGGTGGAATTGAGGGTTGCCGTGCTCTGATTGAGAAAGACGATAGTACAGGCATCCCCCTGAACGAAGTTTCATTCCGGCCACACGTGCCGTCAGATCATCGAACGAGAGGCCACCCGGGCGGCTGCGTCGTCATCCACCCGCGATGGCGTCACGGCGTCCCCGCAGTGGCAGCAGCGACGCCTCCACATCGCCTCGCCAGTCAATCCAACATGCAGGGCTTTTGGCGAGTTCCATCAAAAGGTATATTTGTTCATAAATTAATCAATTATGATTCAATCGTTTTAATATTTGCACTGTGAAAAGCGATTTAGGTGTATAGTTTTAGGTTAGGCGTAGAGTTGGAATGACTGCCCGAAACGAATTCCAAAATGTTTGCGATAATTTAGTGAGAAGAGCCATTACGATTTACGAAATTTCGTTCTGCAAGTGTTTTTTTGAAGAACAAATCCCTCGTAGGTCGAGCGATACCCGCAGTAATAGGTGAACGGCCAGAGGAGGTCAAGTGGGGAGGAAGTCCCTGCTCAATCTGGAAATCCACTTCTGCCCAATGGAATCTCCACCCTCCCTGGGCACAATGGGACCCCCCCAATGAGCGCGGCAGGGAGGTAAGCGCCATGGTATCGCTCGGCCCTCACCAACGTAGGCGCAGGGGGGCATCGCCGTGTTAATGCTCGGCCCCCACCAATGCAACGGCATGGCTGGAGTGCCATCGCCGTAGACAGCGGACAGAGTTCCACGCGCCCGCGGTGGTTGGCGAGCGACAGGCGTTCTCTAGCAAGCCGTAGATGCTCTGTTTAGTCATGTCGTGCCAACGTTACCACAAGCCGCAGTACAGACCAACGTGCAAATTGATAACTGGAACAACAACAACAACAACACATTATAATAACAACACCAGGAATGACGTTCACCCCAGAGGTGAGTAACGAGAGCGAGCGAACGCCACCTCAGCCCTATTCGAGCCGCTTTGATTATGCGATCGTAAACGCATCTGTCAAAGTCGGGCCTTCCTCAAGTGGTTCGTTTCACGAAAGGGACCTTTTGGTGAGACTCTAGCGGCGTGGTGGAACGTCCAAAGCGGGTGACCTCAGGCGCCCGAGACCCACCGTAGCCTCTGGGCACGTCAGGAGCGGACGGGCAGCGCGGGCGGCGTAGACGATTTGAATCCCGGGAGACTTGGTGCAGAAGTCCCAAGTCTCCCGTGAGTGATTCCCACGTGAAAAATATCCATCTGCTGCCATGCGATTGGCTAACATCACGCAGATATTGGCCGATGGTAAAAAAGGGGGTGGGGCGTTACACACAACGCTCTGCTAACCAATGGCATTGCGCGACCCACGGATGGCTTGCCAATGACTCGACGCAGTGATGAACTCCTAGATGAATCGATAATTATCGAACGTGGCTGTCGGCTCGACTGAGCGGCATCGGTACAACAGACACCTCGATTCGGGTTTCACAAGGCCATAGATGGGCAGAGGCACACACCCCTATGGGCAACGTCACCGCCTAGCCCCTTCCAAATATTGGCAGATATCCGATCGCTGATTTTGTTGTGTGTCTGACTTTACTGTACCGTACGTAGCCAACCGTGACAATCGGAGGTGGGGAGTAAGGACAACAAAGAAGCTAACAGAATGCCGCTCATTTGAACGGAGAAGCAGGAATCACCTCTAAATTAACGGGGGAGTCTAGGAATGATTCCCGGGTCGTAAACGAATCCCCAGTCTTGTCACCGATGAATCGACAAAATAAAATAAAAATTGTTCAAATTTTAATTTTTTGCGCTAAGGAGACGTCATTGGTACCGGCCATCATGACATCTGGGTCTGTGCACGAGTCCCATCACGCGTGCAAGAACTCATTATTCACAGTTTTATGCACAGGACATGCTAACGTTACATTTACGGTAGGCTCAGGGAAAGGGCAACACTGTACATGAAGGGAGCTGTCATATGAATGGGATGGTAACACAGGTGGCGGCGGCGGTGGTGACGGCGGTGGTGGTGGTAGTGATGGCGGTAGTCCTGGTAGTGGTGTTGACAACGATGGTGATTGTTGTGTGGGGGCGGTGGTAGTAACAGCGGTAGCCCTGATGGCGGGTGGTGATGATGGTGATGGCGGCGGCTGTTGTCGTAGTGGTGGTGATGGTGGCGACGGTGGTGGTTGTCAATGTGATTGATATTTTAGTGGTGACTGCGATGAGAATATAACCATGAAATGCAAGGACCAAAACAAGGAAACTTTGAGTCTATCCCTCGTGGAAAATGAGTGACCAAGCACCGGTCCTGTGGCATTGTGTCCAAACGCATAATTAATCACAAACCCCACAAAGAAATGCATTATTAAAAAGAACACTCTGTCATAGCCCTAATTATTTATCCACACGGGCTTTTATGAAAGTAATAATAAATAAACAGGCTTTTTTTCACGTAAATGAAATTCGGGACAAAATGTCAAATATAAAAATTGGCGATGCGTTTCCCTGCGTGCCCTTTTGAATCCCTTGTGTCCGTCCTCTTTGTGAGCCGCTGCGTTCCACGCGCGCACGCAGACACACGCACACACACACACACGCACACACACGCACACACACGCACACACACGCACACACACGCACACACACACGCACACACACGCACACACACGCACACACACACAAAGATCCCCCGTATCGCTTTACCAGACTGTTGGGGCAAGTGCTGTTAGCGAGCACCTATGAGGGCCGGAACGGTACACGAGGGGGTGGGTGGCCAGCACCACGCCCGGCCGCCTTTGTATCCCCAGTGGCGATGTTTACACACCGCACCGGGTACTCATTTGAGGCTGAGTCGACCTAGGGGAGGCCCAGGACCAGTTCAAATCATCCTCAGATGACCGTGAGCGGGAAACGAACCCAGGTCGCCAGGTTCGTAGCGCAGCATGCTAGCCACGACACTACCGCTCCCCACAATACGCGCAGAAACGCACCGGTGAGACGGATGCGCAAGAAGGAGGAAAGAGCGATTGAATGACCAAGAGGGATACATGGGGCTGACGGAAAGACAAATTTGCAGACAATGAGGTGTAAACGCAGACGGACAGATGGACAGACAAATGTGCAGACATGCAGACAGATGGACTCACAGACTGGCAAATCTATCAACAAACTGGCTAACGGATGGACAGCTGGACAGACAACCAGAATTATTGACACACAAACAGATAGACAAGACCAATAAACTAATATACAGCCATACAGATAGACAGACGGACAGGCACACACAAACAGACAGACGTAAAAATAGAGACACAAAATAAAACAGAAAGACTGCCTGATGAACAAACCAACCGACAGCCAACTGAATCGTGTGACAAACAGATGTTAAAGTGTATTTAGAGACAGACATATCCACTGACTGACGGACAAGTGAACTCCTGGATGGTTGTACAGAAAGGCAAACAAACACACACACAGCTGAGAGAAACCCAGCCAGGCAGAGAGAGAGATGGATAAATAGACAGAGTGAGAATGTCTAACGCACAAAGACAAATAGACGCGGAAAACTCACAGGGACACAGATGGACAAGAGACAGAAATAGGCATGCAGACAAACGGTTGAATTGGAGGGCTCGGAGAACAAGTCACGGTGACACGAACACAAAGCCTCAGCGTGACCAAATATGGCATGGGCACAGAGCACGCGGAGCGGAGAGACCAACGGCAAAATCGGCAGCGGCTCCTCGTCGTGGAACCTCCCCCGTGACCGCGGACTAACGCCCCACGTCCCCAGGTGGCCATCCGCGGTGCGGCGAACACAACGGCAATTTGTGCCGCCCCTTGTCACTCCGACAAACGCGTGCCAGCGCACGGCCATCGCGGCAGGCTCCTAACGGTGCGCGGCGTGGAGGAGCCAAAATCTCGAATTCGCTGCCCTCCGTGTTGCCCCACCATGCCGCCCCCCCCCCCCCCCATGCCGCCCCCCGTGCCGCCCCCCCCGTGCCGCCCCCCCGTGCCGCCCCCCCGTGCCGCCCCCCCGTGCCGCCCCCCATGCCGCCCGGCCCGCAGGACGGCGGCGGCGCCCGCCCGCCGATCACTGGCCGCGAATTTGCGGTGTGAATCCGAGTGGCCTTCCCAGGTTAGTACAGCGGGGGTGCCTGCTGTATATTTGGAGTTTGCATGGTGCCAGAAAGATGTGCACAACTTGAGCATATTGGCACAAGAGAGAGGAAAGTGGAAACAAATGACAAAATGTGCCGTGGACACCTACGGGATATCTGCCCAAGGATCGTGATGACGATCTTCTTCTCCTCCTAGAACCGCCGTTGCGCGTTTTCAGTTATTTGGCTGCCACACATTTTTACTTGATAATAAGCCACTTCATTGAGCTATTATTTACGGCCAGGTCGCTTCGGAAAAAAATCTACGTAGCTCAGTGGGGCCTTACCTGGTAAATAAAAAAAATTGTTTAGTTTTTAGTTTAATACGGCGGCGTGCGCGCGTGTGTTAACCGTAAAAGTACGGCGACGCGGCGTTTGCTTCACTGTGGACGGTGATGATTCTGTAACGTCATTCACAAGGGGAAGCCATCGTGTGCCATAGTGACGGTTCCAAGTTTTGCCACAATTGAAAAACGCACACCGCAATGTACGTACGTTGAACTTCTTTCGCACCGTACGTAGCCAACCGTACTAATCGGAGGTGCGGGGGAAGGACAACAAACTCAACACAACAAA